CCATTATGTTCTTGTACTCACTCACTCAGCAATAGTCTTCCACAAGCTTAATGTCATTTATAATTCAGTTAACCAACAGTGTCTTTCCAAAGTTTCCATTTCTTTTTAAATTTCAGCGACTGGTAACCTGGTTATGTGATAACGAAACGAATTAGCCGGCAAATCCCCCTGTTCTACAGCTTTATTCCGGCTGCATTAACAGGTCACTGCCCTGTTCGGGAATGAACGACACCCGGGGAATTCTCACCACAGCCGACCGTCAATCCGACCCGTTGGATGACTTAAAGGGCAAAGGGTTGAAATAACAGAGGCTTGAAATGAATAGAGCGAAAGACAGACGCACTAAAACATGGGGAATGAAAGGCGTTCGCCTCGCTGAGGGCGTAGTCATGGGCTACCGAGGAACGTGACAACGTTACCAAAGTAGGCGGTTCACAATAGCCTGGTATCCGCCCGATTCTTCATCCAGTCCGCTCCTCTGGTCACTTTGTAAATTCCCTGAAAGAATAAGCGACAGGAAACTGATCAAAGTAGTTATGGCTGTGATATGTTTTAATTAAAGACCATGGCAATAACAATAAATGATTTTATGTGTTAGTCTGACCTTGTTGGCATGGTATGCTTGTAATTGTGTCCCTATTTCCACCTGCTCCACCATACCTTCCGTGTTGTATGTGGTAAATTGTAATAAACAAATAAATAGATAAATAACTATTCATTCAAAAGACATGCTTTGGAACGATTTGCGGACGTCATTCTTGATAAAGAAGCAAGGAAAGGTTCACATAGAACTGGTGGAACTGTCAATAGCAGATCCCTACAAGTCATGGCCCAGATAATATGCACAACTTCATACATTGTAGGGCGCCACTTTCCTTTGGTCTCTCTCGTAATCGTTACTTGCATGGCCATGCCCAGCGACTTTACTTCCCTTTACTTGAAATTTTATATCGCTAGATAACTTTAAATTACACCAACGTAAATGTACACACAGCCACTTCTCTTAACAGCCTGCTTACACTCTGTTGTAAAGTTCATGTGTGCGCCACGTTTAAACAGCCTCAATTTCTCCTGGTATGGCATGAGCAGACGGCTTTACGGACGAGGTTTTGTTTTATGTGTTGGTTCTGAGAAGCTGAGCCTTTCTGGTTTACGAGAAGGATATCTTCTGGAGGCATATGCTCTTCTGTGGTCTTCAAGATTACACATGGGTGGCCTTCCATGTACAGATATATGTTATGGGTAAAACATTTAGTTCATAGCTATATACTATAGACGAGTTTTCGCTTGATGTGGTAGTTCTGAGACACGGAGCCTCTGGGGTTTACTAGGAGTGACACTTCTGTAGAAATGTGCTTTTTCGACCTTTGAGACTACGAATCTGTAACTAACGATCGCTTTTATGCGTATTTTATGATAGTCTCTGGGCGTTTACGGCGGATATTCATGTGCGGCGATTATGTTTGCGGTTTGTCTTCCATCCCTGAGCACTTCGTTTGTGCGATATGATGGAATTTACCACCCCTAAGTCTGCTCGTCTCTTATCACCGGCGTCAACGTTCAGATACTCATTTCATATCAGTCTCAATGTAATCTTTGTTAAAAATGTCGTAAAACTGAACTTCTTTTTATGCATACGCATGAATTAAGACAAAAGTCTGTTGAACTGAGTCTCTTTGAGTTAAATTTAGTATACATTTTGCGGGGAGATTGATTGTGAACTTTCGGTTGAACGAAAAGGTCTTTGATATGTTTTTGTGAGGGGCGCCTGTGTCTAGTGATGTCTAGATCGGCTTCGTCATTAATTCTGTACTCATAAAAGATCCGATATGGTGTTTTTAACCTTTAAATAAAACCATCTGTCGCCGGCCATAAACGAATACTATCTGTGCCATGCATCATTACATACAAAGTACGGGGACATTTGATAGACGAAAGGAAAAGAAAATTGCTTAATAAATTCGTTTATTCCTAACTAAAGTGTGGGGCGTGCATGTTACGCCGTGTATCAATCATTGTACAACTATCAATGTATAGATGTACGAGTATGGTGTATGTCCACGAGACCATGACAAGGAAACATTAAAATTCCGATTATCACCGTTTTTTACAAGTCAAAGAATCTAATAGATATAAGATAAAGACTTACCAAGAAACAGCATCCAGACACAAGCTCCCGTAGATGGCACTTACAATATCAAGTGATCTGAGACAAGCCGAGTAAGTCTTTTGGCTGTTGTGCCTTTCATATCCAACTGTACAACTGCGCGGTTTGTTTCCCAACTGTATATATATATATGCCCACACAATTTCTGCTCCCTCAAGTGAGTAGAATTAGATTTAAGTTGTTGTGATTACAGTTGATCCGATGAGTCAGACTCTAGTAGGTTTAGAGGAGATGAAAGTCAAGCTCACAATAATGTTGACATTCCAAGTATAATCGACACATTCCTGTTTAAGCAGATTTGTTGCCAAGAACACCATGGCGTTTTCATCACAGTACAAAGCCATATGATTTGTAAGTGATAGTTTTGGTGGCGTTGCAGAGCTTAAGATAATCTCCCAGTTTTTTTATTAAATTTCCTGCCTCGGGTTAACATTTTATTATTTCTTTGATCGTGGCTTAAGTAGTATAATTTTCACTAATTTGGGGTTTGAGAATTTGACCACAAACAGAAAAAACTGATTGAGAAAATCGACTTTGCACTGAACATTTTACACCTGCTGGGTCAAATGTGTAAACCCTTTGGTCACCAAATGTCACTACATATATATGCAGCTCAGCTTAAACCCTATCTAGACTGGGGAGGGGGGTGGGGGCTTAAAAGTGCCCGCGCCAACTTTGATGTCAGATAGCATCCAAACGGCTCGTGCTAGAACCACCAAACTTGGTGACTTTTCCTAAAATATTGTTGGCAACAATTTTATAGCAGTGAGATAAGTTTATGATTTTTCGTGTTGGCATGGAAACGGGTTTCTGACAGGCATTTTTCATTTTTCTGCCAAATTCATTTATTTTGATTTAAACAATAAAGTTTTCAGGCTTTTATGTAATTTTTATCGAAGATAATTATATTCGAATTGACGAGAAATCACTCATTATAGAAATTACCTTTTGCGTAACATCATTAGGTGATTCGATTTTAGACATCCAGGGAGACATATTCGGCAGCAGTTAATTTGTATCCCGCAAATCACGTCTGTTACTGTGGGACTAAAGGCGACCGCACGGTGGACTCCAGTTCAGCCGAGTGGTTTGATTATGTTGCAGGGCCCGCACACTCAAAGTAACGTTAAAACTACTTATCGCAAGGGCCTCCAAGAACAGTGTCAATCACTGAGATGGGCAACCCTGGCTACCGGTAAAAATTAAAGAAAATAGATAAACAAAAGATGCCAACTAAACACAACCATAATTTCTGCTATACAGCTTTCGAGCTAAATATCTTGGGTGCACGTTTGTGTTTACGATTAGGGTATTGTACTTAAATGGCCCCGTACGTTTAATTGTCATGATTCACAACGTTGAATATTTACCAAGGACTCCACGCGTGTGTTGAATGCGTCTCAGGCACGGAGGCAATTATTTCCAGAAAATGTCAACAACGTAAATTTATTGTAATAAATGGGACGTTCCTACATGTAAGTAAAGGGTCTTATTTTTCTCCCTGCACAAAGACACAACTGTCACCATAACACCAAATGTCTTCATCGTTTCAGCATGAAAACCCCATAATATAATATGCATTTTAAACAGACGAGCTTTTCTTCTATCGCTGTGTTGTTTTGATTTTTCTAGTTAGAACAATCTCAGATAGTCAGCAAGCTTCTTGGTATGAAAAACAAGATTTAAGATGCCTGTTTTTTTATTATAACCTAGTGACGCACGAAAAGTAGGAGAAACAGTCGTGCTTATAAGATAGATTTAGTCTTATCAAAATAGAATCGAGACAGACAGACAGCCAGACGGACATAGTGAGCGAGTTACCCAATATAAAAAATGGCAGACCGGGGCTGATATACCTGCACTTTACCCCGCTTTTCATGACGCATTATTCCCCCTGTACCATCTGTTGAGCCGCCTCACTTACTCCATACATCTCTGCATAACGTGACATTTCTGTGACTATCCGTTGAACCGGCGGCATATGGAGATGTTTTCTGTAGCCCAGGGGGAACGCGTGGATAGATCTGTCAGCTAGGCGGGGAAATATTCACGAGATGAGGGATGATGGGGCTGGATTCCCTTGGTGTCCTTCTGATGGGAGATCGCTCGGAAAGGCCACAGTGTGTTCACGGCAAACTGTGGAGATTGATGCATTCTTAGGGAACATACTTATCAACTACGTATGACCTAGGGATTGAATAAAAGGTTGAAGTTAAGGCAAGCTGATATATGACTTGGGATTCTAAAGTACACCCACACCTTTTTGCTTAGTCAACAGAGATTATATAACAACAAATCTCTGTGGAGTTTACCGTTTATAAGCGTTCTACACTGAAGAGGAGAGCTGATTTGTACGATTAGAATGTTTTGTTTATGCATATGTTGGGCTATTCATGTTTCAATGGTACTCGATGGCCATATGATATATGTGGAAGCATGTCAATAGCTATAGTGGAAAATTTGCATTATTGACAGGACCATCCTGTCAATAACAGAAAAAATGTACTACTAACAGGATCATCCTGTGAATAGAACAATTTTTCCACTATTGACGGGGCCATCCTGTCAGTAGTGCAAATTTTTCACTATTGACAGGATTCTTTCAATGCATTGTTAATGATTAGCAATCAATCAGAAGCCAACATCTGCTGTCTCCAACATCTCCTATACTACCCTTCGGAAAGGGAAAACGAACATGCCAAAGCCATGCATACTCTTAAAACTGGTGAAAAAGTACTCTTTTTTTTTTCAGAAAATGTGCGTTAAATTTCACATTCCTCACTAGAACCTGCTGACCTGACCGTACAGGTCGTGACCTCAGCAGGTGCATGTTGATTTTACGACACGCCGCAAAACGGTCCTTTGGGCGGTCGACGTGACAAGTTGCCGACACTCCGCATTGCACAACTTCTTGAAATTCCCAAATGTCGGCCTCCCGGCAAAGACTTAAAGACGCAAGAAGGCCACAGAAGACGCCAAGATGAAGCTCATCGACAGGAGCTTCGATAAAGACGGATCAGGGTAAGAAACACGTTCGATTTGGGGGTATTTTCGGACGCGGAAGTGATGGTTTTGTGTACGCCCCCCTCCCCACTGTCGTTTATACGATCTAATAAATTGTTGCATCAGAAATAAACGTGTACAAATATGGATTTCTTGGGGCTTAATATAAACGAGACATGTATACAAAATATGCCTTTAATCAGTAATAATAATTGATTTACAAACATTAAGATATGCCTTATTACTTGTTATTACTAAACGTTATGTGTATAATTTTTATCTTAGCAAATTCCATTATGATTTGTTTAATACATGTAATATCTGAAGGATACGGCATAAATCTGAGTTGTAGTCACATGTAATCCACCAGGACTCATATACACGTAAAAATCACACTATCAAATTTTGTTTTTAATACAGGGTTAGACTTAAGAGTGTTGTTGTTGTTGTTTTACAGTCAGGTGACCCTGCTCCCTGAGGACCCGGAGGACATGTGGCACGCCTTTAACCTGGTCGCCGTGGGAGACAGTCTCAGGTCCACCACCATCAGGTATGACAAACGGTGTCTGTAGTGGATAGTGACCTTATCTAAATTAAATGCTAAGGTCTCCATTTCCACCCTGGGGCCCTGCCGGGCAGTTTGCAGGAACAGAATGTATGAGAGACAACAAACCACAAAAATGTAGGAAAAAAAATAATCATGATCACTATTTGTGTGCATTCTTGATATGTCAAATTTATTTTTTGTTCACGCGATTGAACAGCCTACTCTAGCTTTGTCCTGTTTTGCAAATGTGGCCATAGCATGAGCCGTGTTGCTGTACAATTGACAACAAGAAATCAGAGTTTTTAGACCTATGGGATGTGTTATGAGTCTCAGTGAACGTATTTGAACTTCAGAGGGGATTTCATGATGTAAGTTAATCGACTATAACACAGTCAACTTCTCCCTGAATTCCTCCATGTACCATCACATTATGTTCAGATGGTGCTACCATATGATGGAATTGGCACGAAAACTCTCGCGAGACAACGAGTCTCCAACACGTGACCCCGAAGAGAGCTTGTCGGGACATGCACGGACAATCCTTCATTCTGCAGTTCGTCACGCAGCGCGGCAGTAACGTGGGTAATAGCGCTGACAGAGACGGACGTGTGCTGCAACTTCCCGCGCTTTTCGGAGACGCCTCCTCGGTTTAGACCACTCGGACTCTAGTTTTTATATTTTTTCCTTCTCCTGGGTTTACCTTGGCCCCTCGGAACTCTCTCCGTCCCGAGTTTACCCCCGACCATGTTTGGAGCCGGCAAGAGAAAGATTAAACTCCCCGCGCGATACGCCGCGTCTCCTGCGGAGGACGACCCTGAATGGCTTTCGACTCCAACAGACAACCTCGCGGAGCAGCTAGACAACGAAATTTTAGACGTTTCCAGACGCATAGAGCAAATGAAGGTCGACATGGGCCTGGAAAACCGGACGGAATCCACGTCTACCCCCCTCCCCACGCACGGCGACGTCATCGGTCAGAGGTCGACCATCCCAGAAGCCCTTGCGCAAGATCCTCAAGATGGCCGCCACCAGCGCCTTTCAACAAGAGCTCCTAAGCCCATCGCCCCACCGGATGGCCACTATCCAACCTTGCGTGAGGTCCGGGCGTTTCACAAGGCGCATAACGACCCGTCCACTTTCACACAGCATTTCCCGAGGCAGACAGGCGGGACTCACGTCGCCGATACGATCCGAAGCTCTGACGGACGTCCCATGCAGTTCAACCTTCAACACGTCTCTGACGAGGACGCGCACCCGCCGGCCCAAGGTAAGAAGCTCAGTAGCGGTCTTTCGAGAAAAGCACATGACAGAGTAGTTCGAGAAGTGAACTGGCCGCATGAATTCGTCTTCTCTGCCAACACCACCATCACTCATGACTCGCTGACTTTAGATCAACTTGTGGCTGGCGAAATGGCCATCATTCTAAGTCCTCATACAAATCCCATGGAGAGTCAAAACAGGGGCCATATTTTGAAAGGGCTCATGCTCGACGTTCCCACCTATTCCTTTCCCGGTATTAAGAACTTCTACAAGATTCTGTTTATACACGTAGAGCACGGCCTGGTCACCATCGACAGCACTACTACCTTATCAGAAGTACACAAGTTGAAGGAGGAACATTTGCGACGACCCCCCCGCAACCACAACAGCAGTGACGGACAAGCAGGACATGGTCATGCCACACCAGTTGAGAGAGCAGGGGGCTCTGGAAGCACGTATTGCTACAGATTCCAGGCCAATAATTGCGCCTTCTCCGCAGATCACATAGCTGCTTCTGGTACCCTTCACGTCCATGCCTGCAAGTTCTGTGCCAGACACAGACCTGGGGTTGATGCTGGACACCCTGCCAAGTTCTGTCCTTATAACCGGGACCGCGGCCGACAGGGCAACCACGCGGCCGCAAGGGACACTCTTGCCTGACTAGGCCCAGTCCAGACTTCAGAACTGATAAACCCGGCATCGACTTTGAATGGACATAGGACTACGCAGATGCCTTCTACAGCGGGCGTCGCCAGTCAATCCCCACTAGTGATGACTGCAAACGTCACACGCAGACCTAGCCCGTTGTTACAACTGACTGCCTCAGCAACAGACTCGTGTTCCTCAGATCATGATCCAAATCCCCCACCCTCTGAGATGGCGAACCCCCTTCAGCACCCACCCGCTCTGAAGCCTTTACCAGACAAACCGGCGAGCGCGTGCCTCCACCCACATGCCCTGAAGCCCTCACCAGCGAAGACGGCCGGCATGTACACCCACTCCCACGCTCCGAAGCCCTCACCTCCGAAGCCCTCACCCGCGAAGACATCCATGTCAACTTCAGGCTGAAGTTACCAACTCAAGTATCCACCCACTCTCCCTGCTACTATACTGTCGCTTCTGGACAAGCATACACACAAACCCACAGACAATCCCATCCACAGTGTACCCAAAACCCGAAGGGTAACAATTGTAACACTTATTTTTCCAGAAAAGTCCAGAATGAATCTGCCACGGGAAGTGTCAGCAGTAGCAAAATCCGCACCACTCTCACGGTGAACATAGAGACAATCGACTTTGACACGCAGGCCTGCGTACTCAGGGTCAAGGGCAGGAACATACAGGAGAACCAATATGTCAAGGTCAATTTCTTTTTTACTTCTATGGTGGCTTTATTTCACAGTGTATATAGTATGAGGTTAAAAGGAATTTTCATGGTGTTTTAAATTTATGGTTGAAACAGTCCTGTACATGTAGTATACACTATAAATATAAAAACACATATTCGTGGTATATTATACTATTATAGATCTGACCCTCTCTCAAAAATCTCAAGAAGAAAACCAGGACATCAGTAATGCTAAGATGATTTTAAGGATACCACAGGTCAAACTGCTGATGCAAATTTGTGTCCATCTTCTTATTATGTTAGGTTATAACCATTTATAAGTTGCATAATTTCTAATAGTATGCAATATATTCTTAATGACCAAGTGCAATATCATTGTGCACATTTTCTTGCAGTCAGCTTCAACAGTCTGATTGTTTTTATAAACGTATGATGATTGAGAGAATTTCTTTGTGTAATTTTCCAGATGGGAGCCTATCACACTCTAGACCTGGAGCTCAACAGGAAGTTCACCCTCGCTAAGGAATGCTGGGATGCCATTGCAATAGACAGAATAGGTACATATGAATGACCTATCTATCTTATAACCTCCATGAAAAATGGAGGTATTGCATTTGGTGTGTCTGTCTGTTTGTGTGTGTGTGTGTGTTTCAGCAGCTGACATGTTGCAGATGTTTGTTTGACAGATAGGGTTTTGGATATGGTCACAGAGTTACAAGACCTGTTTGTGTGCTTTTTTATCAGAACAAGTTTGTGACATCCAAAACAAAGTATACATGGCAGAGGGTAGGCTTGGCAGATGTTAGTGTGGCTTTAGCGAAACCTCAATCATGCTGTGTTTGACAATGTGTTTTGTTATCAGAACAAGCCTGTGATATTGAGAAGAAGGCGGACGTTGCAGCACTAGTGATGCAGGAGGGACTGGCACACCTGTGTCTGCTGACAGGCAGCATGACCGTCGTACGAGCAAAGATCGAGACCAACATCCCCCGCAAGAGGAGGGGCAGCTGTGAGCAACATGACAAGGTAAGGAGAACTACATGACCGAAAATAATTTCAACAGGTTGGTAGAACATATAGGATATTTGAGTTTTCTTTCAAACACTTGCTTATGTTCAATGCCTGTAGCTATTCTCTGTTAAAGATACTACAGATGAATCCATCTATCTATCCATTACTAGATACTCCAAGCCATGTCCTTGTCCCCATCTAACCCTCCCAGGTCCCCATGAAACCCAACTCCCAATGTTACATGAAAAGCTGTACATTAAAGATAAGCTCCGTACTATGTAATAAGATTAATGACAGGTTAGGCAGGATACCAGATTACAGAACTTGATGTTCATAAAGATGATTTTATGACATAATAAGATAAAGTACATGTATGCTATCAAGAATTCAACACATAAATCAGCCTAAATTTCCTGAGGGAAGGTCTGTTTATCGAGTTTATTTTAGGTACATGTAAAACATGGATTATTTTTTTACAGGGACTTGGTCGGTTCTATGAGTCTGTCATGCAGGCTATATTGCGTCATGTCAACTTTGAAAGTAAGTTATATTTGAACCCTCACAAAGGTAAGATCACATACTAGTAGTAACCTACATGTATAGGCTCGATCTTACCTTATAAGTTATACAATCATGCTGTGCAAGAGGTTGGTGCTGTTTATTTGCAATACCAGTGGGTACAGACAGGTACTAGTCCATGTAATAGAAAATCTGCCAGAAGGAAACTTCAACATTCAGACGCACTAGACTTGAAAAGAACTCATATAGCTGAAAAGCTGTAGGCTACAAGATAGTGCTGTAATCTTAGATCTTCCAAAGTCTCAGTAAGGAAGCAAAATGTGTTGCTAAATCCTCAATGATGTATTGCAGCTTACTGTAATCTAAAATATGAGAAATCTATCACATTCTTTTCCTCTTGAGAGTGTCATATCTAAAGCAGCATTATTAAAAAGATTTGAAGCTAAACAGTTTCACTCTCACGACTCAAGATTGCAATGTTTGATAATATTTCGTTCAACACACTCTACTGGACCACCTCTAGGCAGTGCATTTCTACTGGCAGTGTGGTAGTTCAAGATAAAAAGTTGGTACTGTAAGGGAACACCATTGGCACTCAGGCATTTTAAAGTAAGAATTGAACAGAGAAAACATGAATATTGGACAAAATCCATTATGATATGATCTTCTGAGTACTGATTGTACCTTACTTCGGCTTTCCCTTCAGACTCTATTGTCAATTTTCAATTGTCTGACCACTTTCAAAGTCTATCCAGTTTCTTCTGTAACTGTTATCTCGATATCTTATCATCTGGATGTCTCAACTTCATTGATGTTGTGCCTCTCTCCTCCTGCCCCAGTTGTGAAGTGTGTCCTTGTAGCCAGCCCAGGGTTTGTGAAAGACCAGTACTGTGAGTACATGTTCAGTCAAGCCATCAAAACAGACTGCAAAGTCATCACAGAGAACAAGTCCAAGTTCCTGCTGGTCCATTCCTCCTCTGGCTTCAAGCACTCACTCAAAGGTAAGTACGAATTACCGTCATGTTTTGGACATCTAGAGAAAAAAAACCTGCTGCCTATGCCCATAATCAATACACATTTTGTCAGAGACTTCTACTTTAACAGGCCAAAGGTTAACCTAGCCTTGGTGCTGATTGGCCATCAATTCTTGTTGGACTGTTTTCCTAGCCCGTGATTGGCTGGCCTCTAAACCAACCATGCACATATATGGAGATTGACCTTTCTCATGATTGGTTAATTTTGATTTGAAAGCAGGCCCATGATGTTGATTGGTCATCATTTGATTTATGGTTGACCTATCAGGAAAGCTCTTTGAATACTTTTGTCACAGTGGACTGTGGTGCATGTTGTTAAATTTAGACTGGTCTCAAATGATACTAGTAGATTTTCCTGTAACGGTTTCATCTTTATGAGTGATATTTCTTTGAGATACTTTAATGCACAATCAACAAAAGTCTTGAAGTCGAACTTATTGCAGTTTTTTTTTCTCCACAGAAGTGTTACAGGATCCATCAGTTGCTGCCAAACTGGCAGACACAAAGGTGGGGCTCTCATATTTCTTTGCTGTCTGATGTTCATCCACAAATAAGAAATCAAGTCAAATCTCAGTATAGTTTTTCTTCTTAACAGTTAGTCTTTTTCTACCCTTTTTGCTTTACTGAGACCAGCAGCCACCCTGCATACTTTTCACTGAATGCCATTGGAGAATGAGTGGTTAATGTAATAATGAAGGATTCCAATGATATTTCAGTTCCTTTAGTTGGCTGTTCCCAATCTCAATTCCCTAGAATCAATCCCCTCAATGATGAAAGAGGGACTAACATTGTAGCTTGGGCACATTACATTGGTGTCAAACTAGTTAGAAGTATATAATATGATCTAAGAGCAATATATATTGGCAAGGACATTCAATTTTCCATTCTCAGTGCATGGGGATGGCAATGATTGAAAGTTAATGAATGTTGGTTCATGGAGGTTGATCTATCCTCTATCCTGCAATTATATTGTAAGGTTAGGTAATCGCATTATTCTAGATTACGAGGTAGACCAATTTACGATGAGATGATTAGAGACTACACTTATGTAATACCTTGAGGAGATGTGATTTATGGGAGAAGTGAAGGAGGTTATAGGACATGGCAGATGTAATTTTGGATGTCATTAGTCTGGGGTCTGAGTGTCATGGAAGGACTAACAAACCTGACATGTAGACCAGTAACAATTCACGATGAGGTGACAGAAAGCAATTTTATGTAACAATCTCATCATCTCATCTCAAAACACTCACTCACTCATGTCTGCATACTCCAAGGAGCGTCGTACCCTGGCAAGCAGTCCTCCATGTGCTTCTGTTCCGTGCTGCTTCCCCAGGCTGTTGTTAAATAATAGATTGTGTGCTGTATATCTCACATTCACTGAGATTTTTTTCCAGGATAAAGTGGCAAGAGGCCAAGGGCATTGCATTTAAATTCATGGCTTCAAAGAGACCTATAGTATGGTTTCTAAGCATGTTGGATACCTACTGTAAGCCAGTTGATGATAATACACAATTTAAAGCACAATACAGTGTGTTATGTAATGCATGACAGGCCCTATGGGTATTTTCAGGAGACATGTATGATAAAGCATGCAGAAAATTGATTGGATTGATTCAAAAGAGAGGACAGAGACCTTGAGCAAATTAGATTGGAGTCCATCTAGAAAGAGGTTAAAAGATAAATATGTTATAACAGTAATCAACTTGGGAATCTGATTTATCTGTGTCCCAGTGTGCAGGGAAGAAAATAATGAATGCAAGTTAGGATAAAGTAGGATTAAGTTGGTCGGCATTCACTCTGCAATTAAGGTTAGCAAGATGTCAACAGTAATTTTCTCTGTTGTTACTCTTGATCACACATGTCGGAGGTCTATCATCAAACATGGCATGGCGACCAATACCAATTTGTTATGTAATAACCCAAAGAGGTTTTTTCTAGGAAAATTGTACTACCGTACGTGAAAGGGCAACATAGATGGTGTGGGGTAAAGTGATAGAGGCATGGTAGTCTCCACCAGACTAACAACTTGGGTTTAATTAAATTTAGCCGAATAGGGAGAATAATTCGCCAGGGGAGTTTAGCCACCATGAAGTTCATTTGCCTTCACATTAACCCTCTTGGGCAAACTGGCTATCCTGGCCAATTATTTTCCTCTTGCCAAATTCTATGATCTGTACCCCAGTGGAGTGATAGAGGAATGGTGCCAAAAGAGAAAAAATATGGAATGAATGCAATACTAACTTTTTGTTGAGTTTTAAACTTTTAGCCTGCTAAGGTAGCCATTTGCGGGAGGGCCGGGACCGAGGGCGATGCGGAATACACCGTGTTGTATTTTATTTATATCATACCCACCCAAGAAAACGCACCTTTCAATGCAATATGAGCCAAAAGTTGGTGCCCCTAAACCCTCAAATGCAACAACATCAGTTCCAACGGATTCTGTATTTGAATTTTCGAAAGGGGCACAAGCGGGTAGGGCGAAACACGTTCGAATTGTTTTATGGTAGCCATGGAAGCATTTGATAACGGGTTCTGGACCGGGCCGTACCGTAAAGTACGGCCCGGTCTGGAACCCGTTATCGAACGTTATCACGGCCCGGGTATGATATAAATCCACTGATGGTACACATGTACATCCCCATGTGTTATCTCAGGCTGCTGGTGAGGTGAAGTCACTGGAACAGTTTTACATCATGTTGCAGCATGAACCAGACAGAGCATATTATGGGTAAGTCCAGGCCTCCAGGGCATATTATGGGTAAGTCCAGGGCATATTATGGGTAATTTCGAGGCATACACTTACCTAAAGTATGCCCTAGACCTGTTAATCAGGGGTCTAGGGCATACTTTAGGTAAGTACAGAGCATAAACAGAATTAGCTACAGCAAGATGTCATGATGAAAACAAAGTGACCTTATTCATACTACATTTTGTATTTCTCTTGATGTAAAAGGTTAGAGTTCTTCCAAACAGAAGCATGTGCTATCTGTTATAGTAATTATATTCATTCATGATATCAAAATGTATTCTAATTTGTTGTCACCAGCATCAAACATGTGGAAAGTGCCAGTGAGTCTGAGGCCATAGAAACCCTCCTCATTTCTGACAGGCTGTTCAGGTGAGGGTGAATGGTTGGGAAAGACAATGACATATAAAATATGTAGAGTTATAGTGAAACCTTTTTTTGCAAAATCATGCCTGAAGGCTAATTGCATGCATGTACAGTGTCAAGCAAAGTAAAGCAATAGAGAACATATACAACTACTGTCTGATCAACTTATACTACTACATGCATGTAGTATGCTTTTATGAGATTTAACTACTTCTTTGAGGGAATAGAATAGAATACATGACATTGTATGGTAATTGACTCTAAAAGACTTATATTTCAACTACTGTAATAGCTTGGATGTATTAAAAGAGTTTTCTTCTCCATATGGTGGTGTCTATGTTTCTTTCACAACTTTTACAACTTGAAGTACAAATGTATTCAAAAAAGATTGCCAGGTTGCCGTATACAAATGCCCATAATACCCTGTCTTTACGAATTCCTTCAGGGCTCAAGACGTGGCCACGAGAAGAAGATATGTGGCACTAGTGGAGAAGGTGAAGGATTTAGGAGGCGATGTCAAGTAAGCAACTTTGCTCTCTGTCCATGGCTAGAGGTACTTTTTCCTGCATACCTGGCAGTGCACTTTTGCAGTTAACATTGAAAATAACCTGCACCAGAGAAATTTCACCTAGCCTGGGTACCATCCTGGTTAGTTTACGTTCGCTCCCACAGTCGCTACCACCAACGACTGTGGGAGTGGACGTAAACTAACCAGGATGATACCCAGGCTAAATTTCATCTGCACCGCTCAGAATTTATGAAGTCCAAATCATGCTAACAGCTGTTCATAAACCATTGCCATTTTGTAAAAAAATTTATAATACACCTACATGTAGATCTAAACCTATTGCGTACATGGACCAGTGCAGGTAGCTAGGTGAAGGTAGACATCAGAAATATCTTCACAGCTCTAATTCTACCTGCGCTAACATGTATATGCAGGTGGTATTTCCAACCTGGCAGTCTTAATGTTTTTAGCATGCTCAAAACGCTCTGTTTTGCTGATATAATATGACAAATTTCACCTGTAGGATATAATACCATTGATGAGAACTTGGTAGCAGACATGAGGATGATCAGTAGCAGTTGATATGACAGGTTTGACTTGAAAGTTATCCCTGTTATATTGGACCATTCATATGCCATTGTCAGCCTCTTTTGTTCACAAAAACTTCAGAAAAGGTTTGACACTTTATATCCACTGTGAAGAATTACAAAGATGGTTGATTCGAGAGTTACCTTCCAGCAAAGCATATCCCATTGCCAGTCTCATTTCTTCACCCTAAACCTTCATAACAGACTTGACACTTACCCATTGTGAAGGATGGCAAAGATCATTGATTCGTGAGTTACCTTCCAGCAAGGCTTTGGCTTCAATTTGTATCTGTGAACCTAGCCCTTTGGTGTTACCTGGAATTCAAGATCAGCGTCAGTTTGAAAAATTAGGCTGTCAATTTTTGTTCTGCCTGCAACACATCATTTTTATCAGATGATTGTTCAGAACTTTTTTGCACTATGGTGTAAATCACTGCATCTTAACTTCTTAGCTCAAGTTTGGGAACTGTGAATAGTTCTGTCAGGTGGGTGCACCATAAGTTATTGGTCCTCAACAAGGACGTATAGCATGTACAACCAAAATTGACAACATAATTATTCAACCAGGCTCAGAACTAGAAGTTCCAAAGGATTGCGTTGAGGGATACAAATTGAAGGAAAATCTTCCCTAGAAGGCAACACATGAATCAATAATTGTTGAAATTTTTCACAATATCTAAGTGTCAGATCTTTTCTTCTACGTAACTTGCATTTAGCAGTGAACAGGTATTGCCCTCAGGCAGGCACTGTTGTATCCAGCTTTATCCAGAGTCGGCTAGCCATGCTAAGGCACAGTTCTCTATAGTCCATGCCTGAAGCAAATCTACACATACACAGAGACTACCCAGAACTGTGCCTGATCCTATTTCTAATCCATTCAGGCAAACATGTAGGACTAGATAGGAACTGTTGTGGATACGGTAGGCACCACAGATAACTGAATTGCTGGCAGTCAGAAGACTTGTGTACGAGAAAAGTCTTACAGTTTTGAAAGTAATAACTGATATGTCATTCTCAAGTTGGAAGAACAACCTCCCTTTCAAAGTCAGTTGGTGCAGTTACTGTCATTGCTGATAGAGGGCATTCCTAAGATAGTGAATGCCTCATCTTGTCTTCACAACTGCTTATGCCCTCTTCCAATACAATGTATCTACACCTTGTAGTGAATGTCATTTTTTTTTCCTTACAGGATTTTCTCCAGTCTCCATGTGTCAGGAGAACGTAAGTGGATGAAAATTTACACACTCCAAAATCCAGTCCTTCCCTTCCTTCCTTCATTTACCCCCATACCATAACCATGGAATTCTATTGATGTAAGTGGCCTTTTCAAAAGACAGTACATCAATGCCACCTATCGTATTTGCAGTGAAGTGCAGTGTTGGTGACTGAACATCCTGGAACTTGACAGCTGATCATACAATGAGGTCATTGACTCATAGGGAAAACTTGAGCTTTGGGGGAGGTAGCCAATCAGAAACTGCCAAGTCTTAAGACAAGCTTCCTGTTTGTTCAAGAGCCTGTATCCAACATTTGTTACCAGTGCACCCAGAATCTGTGTTTTAAATGACGTTTGTTGCTTTTATGCAGAGAGAATAACTGAGGAAGTAAAGGATAGATTTTCATGACCAAAGGTGGAGTCCACATTGGAAAATCACTGGGGAAGATCAGAGTGTATAATTATAAACTTAGTTTGAACTTTGAAAACACTTCTTACCATGACATATTTTATCTTCAAATCCTTTTTTAGCAAGCTGAAAGAAGATAGATGCCTTGGGGCTGAGTCATTCTCTGACCTAGTCAACAGACAAAACTTAACATAACTGCAAGACTTTTTGGACAATTTTTCAAAATTCAGGAGCAGTTTTGCCATATTCTAAAAAAAAAAAACAGAGCAAAAGTAGGCTTTCTTTCAAGTGTTAAAACATGATGTTTTCAGCAAATCATGATTGTGTTGGCTTTCACTAAAAAGCACTGGATGCCTGAAGGCACAAGCAGACAACTCTCTGCTTTCCAGTCCATATAATTATCTGTCAACAGTCTGACATGAAGGCTAGATGGACTGATGATCATGGATCTAATACTATTATTTCTACTATTTCTACAGAGCTGGATCAGCTGACAGGAGTAGCTGCTATCCTGCGTTTTCCGATTCCTGAAATTGACGAAGAAGATGCCACGGATTCAGACGAGGACTGATGCATGAAATGTTAGGCAGTCATTCTAAACCCTCCAATTATGCCTGAACAGCTAGGATATTGTTTGCTGGTGCTAAAAAGGCCACTTTGGCAGAAAGGACGTTAACACACACACACACTCAGCCTCCTCTTAAATTTGTCACTTTTAGATACCAACTCAGTGAGGTATCTGCTTCAGAAGTCAAGCTAAGGAAGTGTGTGTATCAAAATCATTTTTGATGGCTGTTTCTGCAATATTTTAGAAACTGTAAAATCAATCAGTCTTTGTACAAAAAGACAAACTGGATTCGAAAAAGATGGATAGTTAGTCTACTTGTAACAGTTGTTGTAGTGGCGATGGGCTATTGGGAGGAGTTTGTTGTGGTATTCATTATTTGGGTTATGATGATCACTTGCTAATGATTGTAAGGAAGTCGGAGGAAGTACAGGGTGTCTCATGAGAACATACAAAGAACATCCTAGCATTAAGTATTGTGTAAGTTTAGACATTGGCTTTTTTCTGTCTCGGTTGATGATGGGTCTACCATCAACACTTATGTAGAGAGATAATCTAAGTCTGTAAACTTTGTGCACTTTAAACTCATCTCAGGCATGCCATGATTGCCTGTTGTTAACAATAGTAATATATTTTGTTCAGGATATATTACTTTATGTTCAATGGATGTCATGAAAACAAACCATTGTTGAAGTTGTTACAATTTAAAGAATATGTTGTACAGTGTACACTGTAGATACAAAAGTGCAACTGTTCATTGTTATTGATTTTTAAAGATATTGACAAAAACATAAAACATTATGTATAGAAGACTATATTAACTTTCAAGTTTAAAAGATAAAGTAGTCCTTCAGAGAAGAAATAATGGAAATAAACAAAACTGACACAAGCCAAGAAATCGGTCGGAACCATTTATTTTTCTTGAAGACAGAACCACAATCTTCAGACTTGGACAGCTGTATGTACAAGCAGACAACTCTAGTTAGTGGTTACATTCTTTGGTATAATAGATAGCTGAGAGAAGGGTCTACATCCTCAAATTACAATACTTAATTAAGTACTTTCATTTACCTCAGACCATCATGTCCTTCCAAAGGCAACCCTAATAGGGTTTTTAAGGCTCTTGCCACCTATGTCGGGACCGTCAAGGAATGAGGAAAGCTTACTTTTGTTCTTACATGAGAAATGCTTCAGCCTTGCTAGATTGTAACCATTTTTCCATTAAAACAACAGATGACATTCAGTTACACTTGGTTGTTACAATGTGGTCTACAACTCTCCGGAAAGAGCAGTGTACGGCGACATTTGATCTCCCCGCCACTTGACACAGATTTCTAATGTTTTTATCACTCTTTACAATAAACACTCTTCTTTGGCCGGAAAAATAAATCAAAACAGGCATTTCACTGCCTGACTCCACTGATATTTAACTATGTACAAAGATAAAACTCTGTGAACACTACACAGAAATCAACTGAGGGAAAAGTTCTGTTGTAAAGGTCTCCTCCCAGGTGCCAGTACCCAGCAAGGGCTGGTAGGGGGAGGGCGCATCCTCGATTCCAGAGTCGCTGGTGCTGGATTTGAAGGACATGGGGCTGTGAAGCTTCATGTCATCATCAATGTCCGTCAGCGAAGAGCGTGGGCCAACCGCGTCCTGCGAGAACGGGGAGAGAGGCGGCGAAGAGAATGTGAACGTGGGGGTCGACAGCGTGTCCTCCATCGGAGACATGGGTTCTGTCTTCACGACTGGTTCCTTGTGGTGGTGGTCCAAGGCCGCTTCCTTGTGGTACACGTGGTCCAGGCGGATCAGCTCTGCAGCGGACTCCGTGCGTGGTGCTGTGGCCCCCACGGCGTGGCCAGGCGTAACCGTGGCGACTGCGGGGTCGAAGGCCGGGTCGGAGGCCGTGAGGCCGTCGGTCTGCTCTCGGAGCTGGGTGAAGAAGTTGTCGGGGTCCAGCTGCTCGAGAAGGCTGAGGAGGACGTCGCACTCAGCGTCAGGATCCATGCCACCAGGCTGGAGGTGATCCAGATCTGCCCCTGCTGCAGAGGTGCACGAAGTCTGAATGCTGCGGATTCAGAGGACCTGGATCCCTCCATCCTGGTGGTATGGCCGTCGGCTGCGGGCGGCATCTCCCTCGCCTCCTGTTTGCATTGGACCTGGGACTGGCCGAGTCGCTTCTTCAGTTCAGCGTTCTCCATCCTCAGGCTGTTGGACTGCTGTTTCAGGCTGGAGTTCTGATCTTGTAGAGCCTTGTTCTGTTAGAAGACAAAACAATTTTTACACCCGTTAGTTGTGTATCAATTTCGACCAGAAAGTTCAACTTCTTGCTCACTAACTAAGTGTGTAGACTAAGTTTACTACCATTTGTATACCAGCCACTGTATGTTTGAAATGAGGAACAGAAACTGACTGATAAAACACAGACTGAGGGATCAAAGGTTGGAGGTGAGAGGGCACGCAGGCTTACCTGTGCTTCCAGTTTGGCCACAATTACTTCCAGTTCGTCCATTTTGGCCTTCTTTCTGTCCCTTGCTGTCTGTGCTGCCACTCGGTTCTTCAATTTTCTGCAAAAAGAAAATCCAACACACTTTAGTTCGAATACACATCTTTAACTATATATGACTTTGCTACACGTTTTCTTCCTTTTGAATCGAGTAAGCTGACAAAAAGAAGGTAGATGCCTAAGGGCTGAGTCATCCTCTGACCTAGTCAACAGACAAAACTTTACATAACCGCAACACTTTTTGGGAATTTTTCAAAATTCAGTAGCAGTTTTGACATCTTCTAGAAAAGAAGAAATCAGAGCAAAGGCAGACTTTCTTTCAAATGTTAAAACTTGATGTTTTCAGCAAATCATGATGATATCAGAACTGCAAAATGGCTTCACTAAAAAACACTGGATGGCCTGAAGGCACAAACAGACAACTTTCTAACCCATACATGATCTGTCAAGGGACAGAAGAGGAAAACGTATGTAATTTTGCTGCTGTTTCCACCTGTTTCTAATCCATTAATATTCTGCCTTACAGGAAGACTCGCGATCGGATCAGAAACTCTTACCGCAGTCACAAACGTGTAAACAAACAATAGATAGATATCCTCTATAAGGAGAATTTTTCTTCCTTCGTGCTTCTCAAGAAAAATATTACGAAAGAAACCTATTCCTGTAGGCTGTAGGAACTAGAGGGCGTAGCCATTTTTTAAGTGCTTAGAGACATTGATTTGACGGTAAATGCTTCATTTACCACAAAATGTGCTTAAATGACATTCAGATACTTGTTAAATTCTATTTCTGAGGAAAAGTCACCTTCTCATCGCCTTTTCCTCGGGTGTCAGGTGAGTGAGTCTTCTTCTCTTCCTGGGCTGTGGTTGTTGTTCCGTCGCTGCTGTCGCCGCCATGTTGGTGGTAAAACTCGGCGCTGGTCTTCCCGCGATGTTCATCGGGGCTATTCTCTTCGCTGCGCCGGCCGGGGTGTACACGACGCCCGCTGACATATCTTGATCGTTTCTGGGGGTTAGCTAGTTGGTAAAAACGTCCGAATTTTCGGTAAACACCCCCGTTCCACACCCTTCTTCACTTCATTCCGGACTGCTTCGTGTCGAACCTGTTTTTCTAGGGAAGGCTGCGAGATCGTGTCGATTTGTGATTGGTCGGGAAAATGTCGTCACGGCTAATTTAAATATCCAACAGACGGCTCTGATTGGTGGATGCTGAAAATGATGTAAGAGGGTTCCTGGGTTACCGCATGCCGACATGCGTCATCACGTCAACGTCATGATCTATTTTTGGGATTCCCCTGCCACGAGACCAGAACTAACGGTGTCAAAAATAACCTAAAATATTGCATACAATCACCGCCTACCTACCTATCACACCTGCTGCATCACACCTTGTTGAGTCACACAGTGAACTAGTATTAGTTAATAAAAAAAGTTTATTGCAAATACTTGCCCGAGGGCTAATTGCAGTTACAAACAACATAGAAAGAAAATACAGTGGTATGTGAGACTATATTCTACAACATGACATGACACTAGTTTTACTTATTAGTAAAGAGAGAAAAACTGTCCATTTCAGTTGCGTCGCGCAAATGTCATACCGCTATTTACCACAGGTGTATTCAGAATAAATTTAAAGCCCACTTTGCAGTAGAAAGAGTGAATATAATACTGCACCGACATTTACACTACAGCAATAATTAGGCGATCACTACTAAATAAACCATTTTTATCAATTATCAGTCTGCTATGGGACCGGTGAGGTGAGGTGAGGTGAGGTATATATAGTGGAAAAAAGGGAAAGTTATCAAATACGGCCGAAAGTAACGTTACATACTTTCGCCTCTCTTATAAGCTTTCTCGTGTCATATTCATTAGACTCTTGTAACGTTACAAGAAAAATACGGTAGCACGGACTTTCGTAAATGGTCGTCACACGCCAACAATTGTTATCTCTAGCCAGATACTTACTTCACTTCACTGAGTGTAATTCGCCAGCTTCGTACGTCCTTTGTGCATGCCCATATAGCACTTCGGCAATGCAATTGTGGTGTTCGTGTTTTGGTACCCCCGTTGTTGCCTAAATTTGCAGTTCTATTCTTCATCGGAAGGTGTCCCCACAACACCACTGTCCTTGTGCTGGCCGACTCCATTCCGATTGTGACCGTACAACTATATTATAATCCAGGGCATTACTTTATCTAGCAAGGAACGATATGACTCTCGCTAGTATTCCCAGCAGTTCATACTACTCACGACTCTTAACGATGTCGACGTCGAGACTATAGGGTTAACTTTAGGCGCACAATATCCACACCTAAAACTATCTCTGACACAAATTTCAACAGCTTCACAATTATAAACAACATAAGCCTGTGGCTTCCAATGGTTTGATCTAAATATTTTTTACGCTGCACATGTCTCTTTGAGTTCACCTTCACACCTGATGCAGTGTCCCATAATAATGATCCCCACCCTTTTCTCGGCCAACTCCCCGGCCCACGCCCAGCTTTCCTTGGCATGTCTATGTTTAGATCGGAGGCACGCCCATGAGATAGAAATTTCATTACTTTTCGCTCCTGTGAGTTCTGAAATGAAACAGCCCTAAATATGACAATCGGTGTAGTCACTAGTGGAATGACAGGAAGGGACTTTTGAAACTTCTGGTTTCTCTCACCGTGAAAGCCAACTTAATCCCAAACTTACAACTACTTGTAAAATTGCATGTCTCATCGCAAAACGAGCTCGAGAGAGACTCTGTGTGTTACTACCCAGTCTAGGTTGATGATAAAGCCATCTAGCTTACATGGACCATCGAGCATACTATATCCTTGTATTACTTTCAACTTGGCAGTTTCTAGACTCGTAGATTTGAAGTGTGTAGCAGACTAGCAGGGCTTAGTCCATCTATTCATAGTTACTCACACGACGTCCAGTGAGTGCACCGTTGTAAGATCTCGTCTGAACTGCCCGAAGCCATATTTATAAACATAAACACTCGATCGTGACAATTGCCAGTGAGGTGTCAAACTTAATACAATCATTGGAATACAACACAGACTTGAATGAAATGTCAATGAGGTCATTCGTAACGTCATACCAGTAGGGATAACGTCATTGCGGTTTTTCTGTGAATGAGATTCTCCATGTCGACAATCATTGGAAGCTACGTAATGACGATTATAGAGGCTTGTCAGATGTTCTCTTAATTGGTACATATTGGAAGACAGGCGATGGAGCTAGTAAACACCCAAGATGGATAGAATACAAGATGGCATGTACAATTGTTACTGTATATGATTCATGTACTTGTTTCATGACTCAAAATCTCTATTGTAACCGGCTGAGGACAACGTACATGTAGATTACTCATAACCGGGTGTCTTTGTTTCCACTTCATTTGTGATGACGATATAATTCAATGATTCCAGCCCAGTGGATAGCTCGTTAATCATTTTGAAAGTGTTTACCTTGGTGATGTCACAATGATCACTTCTATACCATAATTTGAAGGTCCGTGATTTTTTCATATAAAGATGAACAATGGACAATACAGATACCAAACATCATCGAAAACTCTCTTGGGTTCTCCAAAGTATGTGTTTTTTTTTTACTTTTTTGTCTGTTTTAACTTCAGCAAAGATGCGACAAGATTAGATAATCTTTGGTGACACGGGGCATTCCGCCTGAGTGCTTGCTCTAACTTGTGCAGCCACTGTATATGTACTTCATGCGCAGCACATAATCACCGTGAAATGAATAAAATCATACACAAAAACATCATTAAGTACGATGGCCATAAGAGGAAGCAGTTACCATGACAATACATTATATGACGTATGGTTCTGTTGGAAAGGCCCAAAGAGGACAAACAGGACTCTCAGAGGTCGGTTTTCACAGACGGTAGACCCGACAGAAAAGGTCAAATCTACATAATGTGCGCTGCAAACAATGCAATGACGTCATGAGCTACCCATGACGAACGACAAAAATTGAGAAAATGGCGGAACAAAATGGCGGAACAAACAGACCGAGAGCACTAGTGCATATCAACAACTGAGCGCAACGTCTTTACATCCTTTGTTCGTTTTCTACTACCGTGGAACCGCAAATCACATGCTAGAAATGCCACATGTACATGTAGACGGTCGGTTGCAATGGCACATAGTTTTGACATGTTGAAACATTATACACATTGGATCGGGTGCCCTTTGGAAAAACTGGGGCCTATATGGTTGATCATATGCTAGATAGTATGTTATAATTTGGGGTATGTAGACAGAATTTTGATGTTAATAATGGACTGGGCTGTTTGTCATACAGTTTTACACGTGAAGAAGCTTCACATATTTTTCACCAACATGAAGAGAGAACATGCATATGGCATTTCAACACGAATAAAATCATCGAAGGCGAGATCATATATTGATGATATTATATACCAACACTTGATTCTTACATATTGTGTAAGATATCCAGCATGAATACCCATAGCAGACTAAGATAATTAGGATACATTTTAGGGAGGAGAATACTGTAGTAAAACGAAAACGAAACTTGTAAAACTCTAGCTACCATCGATGCTGACACTGTTCATTTGTTTTGTGGTGTTTGTACACCTAACAACTTATCAAGGACATTCGCAGTCTTACTGATATGTTGATTAAGATCCATTCCTTCAGGGCAAACAAAGTTTGTTGCCCCATGACTTCTTCTGGCACGTTTTGCTGCGCGTGAGAGATCAACAACTATATATAGGTAAATAGAGGCGATCTCTATATCTATATATCAGTTGTTGCTTGATTCGCTCCGATAGTTACACAGTTAGAAAGTTGGCACACTCGATATTCAACAGATAACTACGACGGTCTAGTTGTGCTAGCATTATTACGTAATCTAGGCAATTGATTTTTGTTTTAACAGTTGATCTTACTGTAGTCCATGTAGTTAAATCACTGTTATTATATAAACAACATTATGCAGACCAGATTTAACCGACTTTGAATGCCACAGTAACATACATACAGCAAGGATGAATTATGGATGCGAAACCGCTCAAATAACGCCTTTCTTGTCGAGTTTAAAAATAGCGACTTTCTTTGTCTCTGAAATAGCAGTGTTCTGGGAGGCTACAATAGGAGTCGGCTGTGGTTGACCTTTGGTTGATGAATGGTGGGAGTCCCGTCTCCAGGGGTGTCCAGCCGGTCCGGACAGATATGTACGGGGGATATTTGCCCAGGGAACGGCCGAGCCTTGGTCACATCAGCTTCAAGCAGATGTGCATGTTATTTTCGGCGATATTGTCTTTTTTATGCCCTAGTTTTCATTACTCAACTGCCGTACCATTGCTTGTAGGACAGACTTCTGAGGAAACTAAAACGTATTGAATTTGAGACAAAAATGTAAACCACATAACGTCTGTTCAATCAATTTCAGTATTTGCTACCAGACTCTATCATTTTCCAAAACGAATGCAGGATATTGAGAAGGCGCACAGAAAAAATTAATAAATTTAAAATTGCACCACCCCCTTCGCTATAATATTGGATAGTGTACATCCTCCAAATTCTTCCCTTTTATATAAAATTTGAGTAAGCCTAGCTGTGGAAATATATCACTTGACCGTTCTCTTATGTATCGAATTATTATTGTGTAAGATACCTGCATTATAATTTTTTTTTTATTGATGACTCAAATGTAAGGCCCAATTGTAGGGTAGTTTATAACCTTTGTGTTGTTTGAGACAAGTGTAAGCTTCTGAGGTGATGTTTTCCCATAATACAGAACAGTGTTTGTCAAGCCAAGCTGTTGCCTCGGCGAGGAAAATGAACAGGCGTTGTCATTATGCACCATTCAATTTAAAGGGAGGGGCCGAAATACACATTTGGGTTAAGATATCAAAATCGCTCTAGGGAGTACCAATACACAATGGTGCTACCATCATGTAAGGTGACGCCTTAAGAAAGTTGTCTATTAAGACAGGCCACACCTGATCCTAGCATCGCCCGAGGGACCCTAGACAGCAGAATATGCATCATTATGATAAAGGAGGCAAGAAAAGAGGTCAAGCAAGTATGACAAGTTAAGTCAACTTTAATGAAAATGTAGAACGTTTATCTCTCACTCTCTCCCGTATGGTACACAGAATACAACCGACTCAAAGTTGTATGTGTCGCTAAACAGCATCAGATAATTTTTTATAAAAACATAAACAAATAAAGTGGGAAGCCCTTCATGATGGGTCGCACGCTTACAGTATGTACAACATTGTCAGACGCTGGTCTGAGGTAACCTAGTTCTGCTTACAACATGTGGGTTAATCGGTCACAAAATGCGTTAACTTAGTAGTAAAGGGGTTAACTGGTAGCACATTCGGTCTCGCAGTGCAGGCTTGCCTATAGATATTACAGAAGGCAATTATGAATAGCAGGCATGAACTCATTATGCAACTTATCATTAGATGAATTAAGACAATTGGGGTGTAACTAAAGATTCGCCTCCTGGGTTTCATCAATGAAAACAAAGCCACCAGCATAAATGCAAGTATCTAGAATTTAAGCATTAACAAAAGGCAAAAGAAAACACGTTGATAAGGATTTGACAACTATAGTACTGGCCAATGGAGCATAGAAGATACAAGCTAACCATTACAGGTCAAAGGTTAGGGCGTTACCTGATAACCCAGTTACATTCACAATCGCACAAGCAAGCTCCACCCTGGATCCGAACAAAACATTCGTACAGTCATGGCTATAATGACGTTTTTTCAGTGACCAGTTGAGACCCAACACCGAATTCTCCCGGTCTGAGACATCATCTCGAATGACACCAAAAGTACATGCATAATTAACGACACTATATAAGCCACCAGTTTTGACATAGCGCCAAGAAATATTGGGCCATATATACCTCTGCAAACGATCTGTTTAAAATGCCGCCAAATAATATTACATATCTACAAGTCACCCAAAGTCCAGACTGAAAATTATTACAAAAATTATACATATGATATGTAAGTGTAAGATAGATATTTTTCCCATATATTCAACAATGAGGTAATGGTTTGATGACATGAAACTTCATGTACAAATATGGCGGGTGTACAGTTTGTTTTTATATATATTCAGTACAGCATACTTTTCCCCATGTCTACCCTTGTTTCCCAGAAGGATTTAGAGCCTACCAGGTTGTACAAGTTCTTAACGTCCCCGGATCCTTTGGAGTCGTGGTGGTTGTTGATGACACCGTTGGGTTTGCTACGCGAGCTTTGTTCATAGTCGTTCAGCGCTTGAGAATACCTTATGGGTGCCTCGTTCTCCTTCACCACGATGGAGGTGTATCCATCGTCCTCGGAATCGTGTCGTTTTCTGTCGGACCCTGTTGGCTGCTGTCGGGCTCTTTGGGCGTCTAATCGGGAAATGTCGGTATCGGCGTCGCGAAGGGCTTTGGGCTGATACTGCGAGAACTTCGCCCCGGACTCCGGGGACATGCCCGGGGGAGGGGTCTTACCGAAAATGTTTGTCCACCTCGGCACGTCCTGACTCCCTCGCCCCGACGTCGGGCTGATGTAGGCCGTCGAAAAATCGGGCCAGTTTTCCTTATTCGAGGCGTCGCGGGCTTTCTCGGACGCGTTCTCTTCAGAACTGTCGCGTTCTTGTTTCTTTTTTTGGTCGTCGTCGCTGAAGATGTCATAATCTATGCCATCGAAGACGTCATCGATGAAAGCGTCCGTATCTACGATCCCAGAAAAGTCGATCTCACCGTTTTGCTGTGGTTTGGGCTCCTCCCGTCTCTCCGGGGCTGGTGGCAGGGGAGGGGGAGGGGCAGGGACTGGATGTGTCTCCAATGTTGGCTGGGGGCTCGGTTTTTTCGGCGGTTGTCTCCGCTCGTCGGACAGACTTTTCTCTGTCGACGTCCGTTTCTTGGGGATTTGAGCTTCCTTCTTAGTTGGTTCAGGCGAAGCCTTTTTCTCCAGTGCTACAGTGAACGGGGTGGGCTGTAGCAGCTGAGACAAGGGGCGTTTCGGCGCGGGAGATGGAGGTTTTAACTCTCTCTCCTCACTCTGAGTTCGCTGTTTTCTAAGATATCTCCGGCCGGATCGCCCTCTGTCTTCTGACTGTATGCTGACGTCATCAAGGGTCTCCACACTATAACTTAGTTCCGGATTTCTGTACACAAAACGCTCACCTCGCGGCGTATACAAGTCCTCCTGTTTCTTCTTCTCCTTCTTCTTTTTGTCCTTCTCGTCTCTCTTTTCCCGCTTCTTCCACGGAGCTTTGTCGGGCAGTGAAAACGAGCTTCTCCTGGGAGAGCTCTTGGTGCTGTCCTGGTCCGGCGGCGTGTACACCACCTCTCGCGACCCCCTCTCCGACCCCCTTTTCGATCTTCGGAAGAAACTACCAAAGCCAGACCCTTCCTTTTCGGAGTCTTTCCTTTTCTGCTGCGGGTACCCGGGTGTAGCAGAGTACCGATGGTTGCTCCCTCGATACAACCCGTCCCCAAAGGTTCGCTACTGTAGTCGCCATTAACGTACACAGACTCGGAATTGCTCCTCTGATACCTACGTTGGCCCCTATCCACGGAGCTGTACGCCGCGTATTGATCCTCCACAGGCCTGGGCTGCTGATGTTGGAAGGACGGGTTCCGTCGGACGTTTCTCTCGAATACTCTGGGCTCCGCTGGCCTCACAGTCTGCGTTTGCCACACTTCGTACGCCTCCTTAAAGGCCTTGTTTAACCAGAGCGCTAGCGCGGTAGAATGGGCAGACTTATGGCACACAAACGACATACACTCGAAAGGGTTTCCCCGACCCGTCCCTTTGACAACGATAGAAAACACCTCCTTGTGTATCCTGTCGGCCGCTCCGTACAGACAGTCGTGTATGGGCACAAAACTGACGGGGAGGACGCCCCTTCCTCCCCGGGGTTGACCCACCCTGATGCCCTGGGCGGAGATAAACAGTGTCGTCTTTGGCAGATGTTTCCTGGCGGCTTGTCGGAACAGTGAATTCACGATCGGCGACACGTAGTCCCGTCCTGCGGCCGCCACCGGCCCGCGGCCCAGGTACCGCACGTGAAAAATCGGGCAGATGGCATCGTCGGTGGTATCCGTGGCGTACCCCGATATTCTCCGTGTCGGCGAGTACGCCATGTTTGTCTCTGCAGTCTCTTCCGAAAATCCTTGGTTGCGCAAAAACCCGTTGGTCCGGTGTGTGTAATGAGGCGGCATCTAGGTGCGTAGTGCGATAGGAATGGAATGCGAAAAAACGCAGCTCCGTTGTTAGCCGCTGATTCGCGTCCCCTCGGCCCGGCCTCTCTCCGCACAGGCTCCGCCCACCGACGGGGGCCCGGGCACAAAAGAAAAGGGCGACAAAGACAATAACATATATCATCCAATCATGTTAAAGCGATGAATATTAATGACGTCAGCAGAATGTAGAAAAACCAGCCGTGGTGCCCGGGGGTCATCTCTCAGCCTGGATACGTGCATGGACGGGGGCATATATTACTACGCAGGTGTACACACATGTGTCATCTACTGTGACGTTGTGGATGTATATACGGCAGTGCCTACAACAGCTGTACCTAACTTTGTACATTTATGACAAAATCGATAACGTTTTTAGTAATGAGTAGGTGTGAGGCACGGCCGGACGTTAGTCTTAATGATCGTACAACCTTCTTTATGATAGCACACTGGTGTCTCTCTCTTTTTGGCGCCATTTTTCTGGCCGTGCCTTCAGGCGGAATAGCCGCCCGATTAGTTCTAGCAGATGTGAAGGCATGTACGTGTAAACACCTTTCAGGGCGCATTTGCCTGTCACAAAAGCCAATACGTTTGAGTCTACCATCTGCACGCACGCTCGGAGCCCGGTATAATAGCACCAGGATTCTCCTGGATAAATCTGACAGCTCCGAGCCGAGGCGTTATTGGGCTCCCATCCAAGAGGCGCGTTACGGGTGATGCCTACATTAACCTATATCTAGTAACCTTCTTTTTCCTAGCAACATGACAAACCAGCTGACTGAAAAAGCACTCAAACTGTATCTGTAGGTAAATGGTAGCGTGTTTACCGTGGATTCAGACCTTATCGGTAAAGGTGCCAAAAAATGTAAACAAACGGCAGAGATGTTTAGACAGCTCCGAAGGACGCCCGAGGCTAAAGGTGTCGGGATGATTGCCATTCTTAACAGGTAGCCTGCCCACCTGCGTACAGGTAACGACAGAAGTACCATTCTTCCCGCCTTAACCACGGTTTTTAAGACGTTCTAAGTGTGATATGCGAAGCACGTCTCACACCGACACCCGTACTGCAAAACGTTCCCCGAGGTAAAAGGAATAATTCAATGGTTCGACTTGAGAGCATTAAATCTGGAGTGGCACACTTTCAATTGTTGCACAACACGAGGGCTCCAAACAACAAGACCCCAGAGACCTCATGTCAAGAAAAAAATCTTTGCAATGGCGTTTGTTTGTGGCGTTAAGAGATTACCTTATACCCCCAAATTCCATTTTACCGTGAGGAAATCTCCAAGATACAGAGAAATTACTGACTCTTTTATATCCTACAAAAGAGACTAGACAACAGGAGATATTCTCAGTAAACATCTGTTCAGAGGTTACAATAGATCAAGAGTGATTCCGTGACGTCCGTTTTGAACGGAACTTTTAAGCTCATTATAGCAGCATCCACGGTCAAGAACGTTTCTTTGTTCTTTTGTCAAGATCTTTGAAAGAAATAGTTCGTGCTCTGTTGATAATGTCAAGTAGGTCTTTCCAGCAATAAACATGTCTTTTGCAGACGTTTAAAAGTAAATAGTGCCTATTTGGAGTAGATATTACTAATGTACACTGTTCCATAAAATCACATCTCTTACTTCAATGATCCTTTATTACATGAAGGGGTTTATAGACTTACTGTTGTCTTACTGTTGTCCTCCCTTCCACTTGTTTTTGCATGTGGTAAATTCAAATAAAGAAATAAAGACTTTTTGCTTAAAGATACTTTTTCAGTACAAAACAAGCCATTATATATGTGCCCATGGGCATCATTAAAAGGTGAAACATTCGCAGTAAGTGTTATGTTAAGACCAGTTTACAGAGAAACTTACGAAACTAAATTAAATATAAATCAAAACGTTTTCAGTCATTGAGTTACAGCTGCCCTATGTTCCAAAGAATGAGTTCAGTGGTCCAGACTATAATTGCCCTCTTCCTTGTTATGTTGTTGCACCTGCTCCTACCAAGGACAGATATACATCTTGTGAACTCTGGTTCCGGCCAAGGCTTCGTTGTGAACCACTGTATTTGTATTTTTTTTCTAGAGAAACTTGCAAATTGCACATATGTTGAATTGACCTGGGCTGACTTTATCACCGATCGTGTTTTTTTTTCACTTCAACTTTCACTCATAACCTCACAATAACCACTCACATGTTTTGGGTTACAGTACTGGACTTTGAGGACAGATGTTTGTTTACCTCAAACTTGAAAAGTTTAAGGTTGTACCCATTTGGGAAGTATTCACAAGGAAGCTTGTTCCATGGTGATGTAGTTCTAGGAAAGAAGTTTTCAGAATGGAACTTCCTCCTGAGAGATGAGAGCATGGACGCCAGGAAATGGTGTTTTGCTTAAACTAGTGCAGAGAGACACCTGGTTACTTGTAAGTGTAGTCTTTGTATGGCTGACTGACAACAACGTGATAACAAACTTGACATTTGCTAAAAGGGCACGCAAGAGACAGACATTGTGAAGGGCCTTAACGAGGCCAATTGTAAGAAAAACGAGGCAGTAATTTACTGTCAAAACTGTCGACGCGAACAGACAAATGCAGGTGCGCAGAAGGACTGATTACTAAGAAGCTGAAATCTGTCGCATCTGTCAGGGGATGAAGATAATGCGCCCTGAGGTATAACCTGGGCGCCGTGCCCGCCGGTGAAGTGGCATATTCGTGCGGAGTGTGGATCAGAGAACACCGCGGGAAACATGGGATTACATCAATCACCAACAACGGAGGAACCTGTGGTTACACCGATACACGCAAGTCACATCCCGGCAGGACGGCAGTATGTGACGGAAAGTGGACGCCGTACGTGAGCCTCGTGCATGTGAGGACAGAGCTCGCGTGCTGTCAAGGATCGTTTGTCTTTTCTGAGCCGCCATCTTGTTGACGTCACTTGGCTCAGCAGACAATGCCTACATGCGTCGTCAATGGAGACGGAATATCTTAATTACAGACGACAATTCTATCTGTTGTCAACATGTATTTTAAATTGACTGTTCTTCTTAAGAACTACATGTAGTTCCTTACAGGTGAAGGGACTTAAGCATTGTCGTCTTACTTGAATGTTTTTCAAAAGAACTCAAAGCTAGGAGTACAAAAAAATCAAGAAAAGGGGTTACCACTGTAAGGCCCCAGCATCAAAAATGACCGTAAACTATGTAGTTATTTTTGAATTGGCAATCGGCACTGAGATTGGACACACCAAAAAAGAGACAAAACTTAGACCAGAGTTTGACAGTACACCTGCATCAAAAAATTGCAAAAGCGCCGCTACGCGGTGACTTTGCAATATGCAGGTTTGAAATACCGAGTGAAACTTGAAAAACACATTAGAGAGACAGATAATGACCCATGATCTTTTCACTGCTGCCTGCTAGAGTTCCCCACTACCCCCACCATATCTTACTTCATTTTTCATATAGGACGACAGGACTACCAAACTGCCAGCTCCCAAGCTGACAACAGGACTCTCGGAAGTCTGGACAGACCGCTCAGCCACGACCTCTGGTGACGAAGTTAAACATGACAACTAATCAGTTAGTCGTTCACGGACCGTTGAGTACTGTCTCTTGGGACCTTTGATCAAAGTGCAAACGTACTGGTTTCGATTATCCATGCTATCATTGACACGCCCAAAGTGTGTATGGTATAATAGTACTGCATTGCGGGTCCCAGTCAAATGCCTCTGGATAAAGCATCACACAGTCAATGAGAAATGGTTCAGTAACAGGCATATATATTGGCTCGAACGACCAGGTACATCTAGCCATTTACTGCATTCTTATAAATCCGGTTGTGTAAACGCAATAATTTAGATACAATAGACACTGTAATTGCAGTTAATATTGCAATGAATTCGAAATGCTATGTCCATACGTACCACCATATTCGTATAATGATTGCCATAGAAAACACATCCATATACGAGCAAAAGTTTTGAGGTTTCGTCTCGCCGAATTGCGAAGCCATCGATATAAATTGCATGCATTCATAGAACCAAATGGCGAAAGGAGTCCCGTTTCCCATTTACCCATCTTTCCTAAGTGCCTTAAGAACGGAATGACATCTTATCAAAATCAAAACGCACTCTGGATAACACTTTATTTTCTTGAGTGCCTTTCAAAGTAGGTTAATCCTTCATAAATTTTCTAATGGACCTGAACAGAGTCTGTAGTTTACGATAATGACCGATGATTCAGAGACGACCCCATGCGTGGTCGAATGAAAAGCGTGTTGCCTGTGATTGTATCTGAGCAAACAAGATAATCGGTACCGGTTGTCACAAGACTCTATTGTGTCGCATGATAGACTGGCTGGTAATGGAGCCTACCATTGCACGAGGGGTTATCCACTACTGTTGTTATGTAGATTATACTCACACGTTATTTGGCACGGGGGTTCATAAATAAACACGAAATATCTTCAGAATAAGACACAAAAACGCTGGCATACTTTTCTTTATGGTTTATTACTCGTCTGAAATTGAGAAACAAGCATCGTTTTCAGTTGTAATCTGCATGTTTGGAAAATCAAGTGCATGTCATCATTTTTCAATCCTACTATGACATTGACGGTAACCACCATTTTTACTACGTTTCTGCAGAGTGCATTACAGATGCCAGGACAAGAAAAATGACTTTGGCATTTCAAACACTGATATGATTTATGTGTTGCGTGGCAAGTTTTACAAATCATATCTAATTCAAACGTCGATGATGAATAACAAATTGGTATACACATATTTCTTTATTCCCCAGACGCAAATAACTTAACGGACGGATCATTTCACATAAGTAACTTGTCGTCCCATATGCAGTTACTTAAGAACATAATTTAAGGCTTAATAATAACGTAAGTAGTGAAATATTAGCAATGAACATCATATTTCTGATGCATCGTTAATCATCTGCTTACTATGAGCTTTGCAGATCGATGTTGGAGGAATAACAATATTACAATAGATCGATGCTTCTGGTATCGCGTGAACTGACAAGACCTTGAACACCTCACCTGCGTGTGCTCTGATACCTGCTCACCTGACATTTCTTATTTATTATGTATTGTCTCGTAAACCTGCCCTTGCAACAAACACATAGAACTCATTAAACAATCAATCCTAAAGCACCTACAGCCAGCTATCTTCCGACTCCTCGTCGCTGGCGTTTCCGGAGTCCGTCATCTCGGCTACCGCCACGGCCATGGGCAGTTTCTCTCGCACGACTTCGGGGTCGACCTCGGGGTTTACTTGACTGGGCTTCGGCAGCTGCTGCTCCCTCCTCCCGAACATCTGGTCCTTTTCTCTCGCCCTGTCGGCGTCGTCTTCAAACCGGACCCGATACTGCCTCCTCTGCGACCTCCGTGTGTTGTCATGGTTCAGGACGGGAGACATGTGGTGTGCGAAGGTCTCGGTGTTGTTGCCATGGGACGGCTTTTGTTCCGCGGCATTGTCGAGCTTGTCGACCTTTTTCACGGTGTGTCTGGCGGGATTTGAATCAAAATCGGCGCTCGGTCTCGTCTGCGCACGCCCGCTGTTCAACTTGTCTGTGGGTCTGCCCTCTACCTTTCTGATAACATCCGCGTGTAAAGAGGGAGGTCGGACTTGTTTGACTTCAGTTCTGGTCGGGCTGGATCTAAGCTCACGTCTCCTGATGTTAGCCTTGACAGGGCTCTTCGGTGGGCTGTTAGAATTGACGTGTCTGAACTCAATCTCAGAAAACGTCTTCTTAGAAATAGATGAATACGGGCTTTCTGGCACAGTGGTCCATCGGGGGCGGAGGTTCTCTAGGGAAGTTGCCTTGCCGGGGCCCCTGATCTGATGATTGGTATTATCCACCACCTTCTGTGGAGACGAATGGCTGACGTCTCGCTTTGTCCCGACCGTCTCAAAGCCGACAAGCTGAAAGGTCCTGTTATTCTGGTACTTAACACGCTCCGGGGAACCCTGGGTATTGTCAGGAGGGCCCGGATGTAGGTCTTCGACGCTCTTGGCCCTCCTCCAGTTGTAGAAGCGCGTTTTCTCTACCGTCACCTTCAGACCCTCGGGTGTGATGAACTCGGTTCTAGTCGGTGAAATAGGAAAGCTGCCACCTTGTAGTTCGAAATGCTCGGCCCGTTCTTGGTTCTCTCCCGGAGGCCTGCCGTAGACGGCGTGGACCTTGTGAACCTCTTGCGGCGGGCCCCTGGGTGCCCCTGGGTTATGGTGATGAGGCTCCACGAAATTAGACACGACCTTGGCTGATCTTTGGTGAATTCCACCTTGAGGAAAGTTGGGGCTCCTAGGAGACAAGTCCTGTTGCGATCCTCTGCTGGGGACTGGGCCCAGCATGCCGTCTTTGGCTCCGTTGTATTCGTACTTCACCCATGTGTGTTCGGGAATATTGTCCAGGGATGCTGACTTCATGAAGGGAACCCGAGAACGTAGCGGGTTTCGCACACTTCTCAGGCTGTCCATGGGTCCTGTTTGGAACGGGTTAGTGGCAGGGTGGGCCAGGGTCCTGGGAGCAGAGGAGGGGCGTACTGTCGCGTCCTGGAAGTCCTTACTTTCATACAGGGAGGGTTCATACACAGAATACTGTAACGGTCTCCTGTTCTGTTTGTCGAATTTGAAGAGTCCAAAGCAGTTGGTCAAGGCGCGCTCGTCGTTGACGCCTAGCGGCTCCTCGATGAGCACGCCCGGGCTCCTGGGCCGGTTGACGGGAAGCCTCGCCTTCTGCCACGTCTCGAAAGCCTCCTTGAACGCGATCGTCAGCCAGAAGGTCATGACCCTGGCCAGCTCATGAGAGTCGCAGAAGAACGCGTGACACTGCAGCAGGCCCTCCATCTGGGCGTTCCGGACCACCACGCCGAACACGTTCGGGTGGATCCGGTCCGACGCCCCGTACGTCACCGTGTGGATGGGGAAGACGGCCTGCTTGTTGCGCTGGAACGGCCCGCGTTCCTGCTTCAGCTTCAGCCCGTGACTGCACACGCTCACGGTCAAGGGCTCGAGCTTGCGGCCAACACCCTCCTCGAACAGCATGTCCACGGGCTCCTCGATGGCGCCCCTCCCGACCTCCCCGTTCGCCGGCATGACGCCCAGGTAGTGCACGTTGAACACGGGGCACACGTGCGTCCCCTCTGAGCAGCGGTGGCGCTTCCAGCGGTAGTTACCGTACAACCGGGTCGCCATCGCCATACCTGCTTCTCCATCAATCTGCCGGGTGCGTGACACACTCCCGGCTCGGCGCAGCTGCCCGGCCCGACTCACTGCTCAAACAGGGGAGGCGTGGTCGGCTTTCCGCGGGATGTGATTTACTTCCACGCCACCAGGAAACTCCGTAACGCTCTTATTTCCACCAAATTCCCGTCTAACATGCTCACAGACCAGCTAAACACCACGGAGACTTCCCTGTCCTCCTGAAGACGGTTCGGCCCGTTAGCGCGACACGTAATGAATAGTGAGATAAGGACAGTCGCACGGGGAATACATTCAGGATAAGTCATTGACTAGATTCAACCAATCAGCGACAGGGTTCTGTCAGTTTGCACGCAAAGGAGGACATCCATACTTAACCAGTCTAGGCACGGATATGGCTACGCAACACAATAACACTGCAGGGCTAAAGCAGAGGGTTTGGGGAGCATTTTGACGGCACCGACTGCCAAAATCTATTCATATAGCCCCAGCATGGCGCTTTCCTTTGTTCTTAAATCTGTCCAAGGAAATCTATAGGCACCATCGACAAACAGACGTAGCGATTAGCTCAACGTATTGGAACATAATTCTCGCCATGATGCAGCGATAGGTGTGGCCTATTGTTTGAGCAAAGAACTTTGACATCCAATTAAAGGCCAGGCTGTGATAGATCTAAGTCGGTGGATGTTTTTGTGTTGCGATCAGTGTTGTCGTAACGCCCTTTAAATCTCCCATCCAGGGAGTGTGCGGAGACAGAGAGACAAGCTTGTTTCCGGACAGTAAGCATTACTCAGCTGGGCCACGTCTGGCGGTCTTTTGGCATTCAACTTCTGGTTGTCAAGAGAAAGATAGCCAGACTGGTGATAATTGGAACAAGCTAAAGTCACACAAACGGCAAATACAATACAAATAGTATGTGGAACCCAAGTAGCGTAGTTTAGCCTCTCAGTAGGTCATATAAGGTAAACCAAAATCTACTTGAACCAATGACACTCTTAAATATTTAACCATATTAACTTTTTTGTAAAAAATATAGCCTCATCGACGAAGACAATAATTACAAAATATGATAATTGATAACAATTGACAATTATAGAAATCGCCGGAAAGCATCAAGTGAAAAATGTCTGGAGGACCAGAAATTCCGCTCTAAATACTTGAGTGTTTATCTCTGAGCGATGAACCGGTGAAATACCGATCATATCACCCGGTAGCAATTTGCAATCCTCGGAGTTCCCACGGTGGGTATCTCTAGCTAATACAGCCTTAACACTTTCTAATCTAATCAACAGAATATCTCCTATACAGGCTGACAATACCTGCTGAGATCTGACATATCTGTGTGTAATCTCTCTATGCACACGCCCGTCATGAGACAATGACTTTAACAACTACGACAGAGAGTTGGTCATTAAAAATTGAAAGGTACTTCTTTTCAGCCGTTGTCTTGAGTGCTGGTAATGGTATTCAGTCTTAAGACTGGATTGGCGACTACAATAGGCTGTCAGATATAAAAGAGGTTTATTTTATTACAATATGCCATTCCCATTGCGATTATAGATTCCACAATCACATAATTTAGGCCTTTTTAACTGTCCCCTATCAAGTATAGAAAGCCTATGCTAAGTATAAAAAAAATAAAGTGAGAAAATTATACATGTGAAAAACTCAGAGGCTATTACCCTTGCATGACCCATAATATTTTGGACGATATTTGCATTCTTTTTTTATCATTTTGAAAACAATAATGCTTCATTGTTTAAAATGGCTTAAAATGGAATCATTACACGATCTGTATAAAGTATTCTATTGTGATACTAAATATAGTACATTGTAGTATCCTCCAAATATCTGTACAAACCAGTAACATGGATATTATCTTAACATGTTACGGAATGTGTGTAGGTATGCGGGTTTTCCTGCATGCATACAAATACCAACAGGCATTATGAATAGAAAAATTGTCGCATGGAATTCGCTGGCCTAGTTATCTACATATGTGGTCACCATATTATTTATGGCTATATTAAAGGAGACTATAATAATAGGAGACTATTATGCTATCAAATATATACACACAAACAATTGACCAGGGATGACCCAATAACTGTGCACGTCTCTATTCATTTACCCAGAATAGTCCCAAAGGATCATGGACACGACATCTCCATCAAACTTTGCGATGTCTACAATTCTAACTATGAGTATCTAAGGACTCTATATAATGTCCTTGGTGTGCCTTTGTGGTGAGGAAAACAGGAATGTCCCATTAAAATGACCTCGTCATTAGCAACTAGCTTGTTATGATGTTTCAAAATGCTGAGACAAGAGGCTATCGATTCGGCATAAACTTGAAAGAAAACATAGCTAGCATAGCTAAGAAAACATATATTACATCGCGGTATGGATGTCACAGGAACGTGATTATCAACTGGTGTTTTTCTTACAAGCAAGTGTATAGGATCTTACAGTTAAATGTACAAATCTGCATACATTGCTGATATAATATGTTTTAGACTTTTTGTACTTCTAACGATGTCTGGTAACAATCGGTCAGGCCAGTTTAGAGAAAACCACAACGCCTGGGACAATAGCTGGGCTCATGTTACCACGAGATAAAAGTTTCTCTCGAAACTGTCGTAGCAGCTAACGCTGGTAGCATGGCACAATCTGCCTAACTCCACAAAAATCACATATGTATCCGTACATGACAGACAGAACAGGCACTTTACAAGGGCTGCCCCAGGCTGGATCTGCTGGGGACACGACAATTTGCACACAGGCTGTTGGGCAGGGGTCAACACCCGCGAACTGTCTTCAGCGTCGGTACGGGATCCAAATTATGTACTTTATCGTGCATGAACCTGTTATCCCAGCGTCAAAGAGAGAGAGAGAGCTGCCCTGTGTAATATATGCTTGTAAAGTATGTTTTGGTGTCGTTTGTACAGCTTGAAACAAAAACTGCTGGTCTAGAAAATGCAACTTGAAAGCATGATGAATATGTGGTTGATTGCTACACAATCCAATCAACATGTTTTTTTTTTACATGAAAAGTTAACAATTTGAAAACAACACGTATTGCTCTAGTGACGCGAGGAAATGTTACTTGCCTATTTAAGTACAATGCGGTATCACCCCTCTTACATCCCTACCTACAAAGACTGGCAGCTTGAAGGTGAACTGCAGTAGGAGTTACGTAATGATGAGGAGTTAAATAAAGCTATTAGGTAAACATAACTTAGTCAAATGAGGATGTGATTGTTTGCAACATAAGCGTACTAACCAGTTCACCTTTGGTAACACCAACTAATTGTTTTAATCGCAATCCTAGTTAGAATCTTGGAAGTCGCAGTAATTTGTCACTGTCAAGCTTTGTTCTTCCTACGTTAACCCTGTATGTAAGACGAGTAGGACAAACTATACTTCTGATATATCATCATGACAAGTCAACACAGGGTGGAACACATCACGGCTCGTAATTGGTCACGATTTTCTGACGCAGGGTGAAGTTAATGACCGGCCGATGTCTTATTTTGGGCGGTGCAGAATTTCTTTGATCCTATCTCGGCTATACATAGTGCGCTGCTTTTGTGCTTTTGTGACACAAAATGGGGTAATTAGATGTCATTACGTATTCAAATCTGGCTTTAGGCACTGAATCGGATGTAAAATCAAATTATGATGAATGAAAAGATGTGTACATAGACGGCCTTAATTGGACATGTCTGGTGAGCAATGTTATATTTCATCAGCTAGATGATGTTCTGGCAGCTCGCTTACAACTCATTTTCAGCTATGACAAAACTGTGTCCAGGTAATTAGTGACCACTGACCACACAAGATGTCACTCTCGTGAATCTATTCCCGCCCTTTTCTGCTTAAGGTCAAATAAATTTTCCTAAAGGTCTGGCTAATCGCAATTTGAATAAGTGACAATTAATGAAACTAGAAAGCTAACGTTTTCAGAGCAAATGCATGATGTTAACATGGTCTACCCAAACAAATTACTCCTGTTTATTCTTATATTACTCAAACACATAACTTTTACGTATAAACGTATATACTTCAGAATGTACCTCAATCTTAAGTTTATATTTGAAAACAATACAATACAAAATACAGAGGGAAGTCTGAATACTAGCATCTTTTAATCATGTACACCAGTACAGTGTATGAATGTACACCAGTACAATACATGTGAATTCGCATAATTTTCCGACTATGTATACCTATGTATCTGTACAACATACATGAACTGGAAAAATACATTTTAGGTTACAATATGTACAATATGATCGATACAGGCAGAATGTAGCTATTTAAGATGGCTGCAATCAACAGTGAGAGAGTAGCTGGTTAATTACTTTGTGAAAATTAACTTGCTTGACGGCTCATAAAGTCGTGTGGATTTAATGATATTAGTTTGAATTACCAGCAGAATAATAAGCACCCACAAAAAGTATTCCAGATCGCAGAATTAGCCAAGTTACAAAAGTCATACCGCAGCGAATCTTATCATGCATGTAACGTTATATACAAGTTCTCATTATACACACAATCTTGATATTATACAAAGGAAATTATACTAACTGACAACAATTCAAACATTTCAGAAGAAAGAAATGATTTACACCATCTCCGTGGAGCAAATTCTATAATAGTAAACGTATTAAAAAACTAGAAAGGCCAATATTTGCTTTGGAGCAAATACAGCGATGGGTTCACCACATTTTACGACATGGCAGGGAAAGAATGGGAAACACAAGGGAAAACAATGATTTACATTGATATAACTATAATATGAAGTAAAATACAACTAAAACAACAGTTGGATAGCTATTCCCTACTTTATTGGTTAGGATTTTTAATTGCATAATGCAAACTGTTGATTTTCAAAATAAAAAAAAACGTCCATGCCCGGCATTCCACTGCTGGAGCAGGAAAGCTTGAAATACCTACCAAAACACTTGAATACAGACATACTGTCAGTATGGAAATGCTTCTGTGCAGGTGTTAATCAAGTTAAATCCCAACAGCCAATCAGCAAGAAGTATAGAGGAAAGCTGCATGCCTATTGGTTGATGCCCTGCATTCCATTGTGATGACTCATGTCCAAACGTGGTAAACAAGGCACCCTAACACAGTAATACATTTGCTATAACACAGCCAAAAAACTCAAATAAAACCATTCTAAAAGCCTGTATCACAATAATTTAAAAAACGCCTAGGGGTATTTGCCCACTGTACCTCCATACCAAATTTCAGGACCTTGGGCCCTAAAATGAAGAAGCTGAATCCATTTAAAAAATGGCAGGAGGAGGAGGAGGAGGAGAAGAAGAAGAAGAAACATCAGAAAAAGCAATATGGTTTCACCACACCACTTCGTGGTGTGGTGAACCCATAATAACGCAATATAGTGCAGAAGGAAGACTAAGATATTAGGCTTATATAAGTACATCTTTGGCACGTAAGGGGGTAGCGGTGGGGGCTTGTGCCATTATTGTATTCTAGAATTTTGAATACGTCATTATCATGGCTTTTACATCATTAGAGTTGTTAACTCATTTTCTGGGATTTTCGGCTCTCATCTCTTTGCTTTCCATAAGTCCAATAAGGTATTTAGTCACTTATTTTCACCGATACGCCTGCCTTAACGAGATCGTTATACACGTGTGCCTCGAAACCAAATACCAATGTATAATCTCGCTAACGAAAGGTGAAAGGTTCTGGCCTCCCTTGACATGTTATGCAACGTGAACGTCAGGAAAATCATCAACACGTTCCAGATTTCAAATGTTTTGACTTTAGGAGATTGCCATTCGTGTATGGTTACTTCTGACGCTGTGAGAAATAGTTCTACAGGTCTGTTTTTTATCAAGTGTTTTGTTAATGGATTAAATCGTTTACAAAAAAAATAATAACAACTGTCAGTATCTGGACTCAAACCGCCAAAACTGTGAACTATTTGACCCGACAATTGGTTAAACAAACAGAAAAAGTCCTCACAGAGTATGGTCATTTCACCCGTCATTAGACAGTGAATATTTATCTCAACTTACTTATCTCAGCTGGTTGGTAGCGTCTTCTAAAATAGCTATTTCATCGATACTTTGTGGGCCATATGTGAACATGTGAATTCCTCCAAAAATGTAGCCAAGGTTGAACTAAATCTGGTGATTTTACCTCCAATTAAACAGAGAATAGTTGGCGCGATTTGATCGGGTGGCAACCTACGTCTTTGAAGAACGGCATTTTCAAATGGCGACGTGGAACGACCTGTTCTGTATTGTTTGTGTCATTCCTATGGGTCGGCCAGGTCAGAATGGGCTTTGTTGTCATACCTTCCAGGCAGTACGTGGCTTGTTTTGGATCTGTGACGCTTGATTGAGCACAGCAAGAGAGAGGGAGGGCAGGACTGCTCTAGACTATTAGAATTTACAACTTGTCAAACTAAGATCTTAGTGAACATAAAGATCTGGTCAGTAACAGTACAGATACGATCACAATTTTCTGTATCATTAGAAGTTTTGACTAGGAGGTTTTTGTCTCTCGTTCTGGTTGGTTACCTTGAACATAAACAATGACCTGCTACATTTGTTAGAAATCCACAAATACATAAACACATGGAGAACATAGTTGTATTTTGTAATCAAACAGGTACTGTTTGGAGCCACGCGAACAAAATCTTGATAGTCTGGCAATGATATGTTTCGTATTTACCAGTGGCAACGCCAACAGTGGATATTACATATCATAAATTGCATTTTCTGTCAGAAAAGTTGCATCATGGACATGCACTATACAAGGGCACATTAAAACCTGTACCTTCTATAATGTATAATACTGCGATTGAGTTAGTTTACCAGATCTTATTATTAGAATGCAATATATATGACCATGTCTACTGTAATATACAGGTACTTTGCTGTTTCACTCACCAGTGTTGTAGATATTCTACTACTCAGGAAATGGCGCTTAACTGTAGTTTGTTCTGACGTGTTTTGACCTTGTCTTGAAATGAGTCATTGTCCTTGTTTCTCTCGTCTTCTGTACCTTTCGTTATATCTCTGGCAACTCTTTGACAACCGATACATTTGCTTACGAACACGGTGAAAACATGCATACCTTCGTCACAGGTGATCATCGAACTCTACGGATTTAGCTTGAGTATCGGAGAAGGTGACCCGAAAGGACTTTGGTAAGGTCCCTCCAAGACCTTTTCGCTTGGGGTTGTCCTCGACAATGACCAGTTTCTTTTCTTGGACGTCCTGATCGTCCCTGGAAGTGCTCGGCTTCTTGAGGGCTGACTTCAGAGGCTTGATGCCATTGGCTGTGGTCTTCTCCGCCTTTTGGGAGTTCCTCGCTGGCAATGGTGGAGGTGCCACCTTGGGAATCTCGTAACTGATGGACCCCACGTTCACGGTTGGCCTTCCGTTCGCGTTGGTCGTGACGTCCACGTTACTAGTATCTGCCCCGGGAGGTTTCGGCCCTCCAAAGTTGATAGATTCGTAACCAGACTCACTGTCCGCTAGGGAGTTTCTTTTATCGTATGGCTGTACTGTTAACCCATTTGTTTGGGGTGGTACAGAGTTATTGTTGTTCTCTGCCCTCTGTTCCTCTTCTCGTTTAATCGTGGTCACGCCGGTGATGCTGAACTTCGGGTTATGAAGAGGTGGCTCCTCCTGTTGTCTAGAAGCAGCGGGTGCTCTGGAACCGTTTGCCGCCTGGACGTCATCCTGTGCACTTGGGACGTGGTTACTCGTTTGCGGGACCTGTTGGGTAGTTGGCTGAGGGTTGGCAACGGAGTAATTCGCCCCTGACGCGGGCAAGTACACGATGTTGTCATACGAGTTCGACCTTTGTCTGTTTATCTTCCTGGCGATGGGCCTGAATCCTGACTCGTTTTGTGACGCCGTACGGGCCCTCGGGTAGTTGTTGGCGTTCGGTGTGCCTAACTTTGGCGACGGCGGCGCCCTTCTGTACAGGTTGGGGCTTGTCCTACCCTGTCCTCCGTTCATCACAGGCTGGGGTGCTGGCGGTGTCCTCCGGTAAGCGTTGGGACTTGTTCTTCCCGAGCTTCCGTTGATAATTGGCTGTGGCGCAGGCGGTATCCTGCGGTAGGCGTTCGGGCTGGTCCTGCCTGAGTTCCCGTTCGGCTGTTGGGAAGGTTGTCGCCGGTAAACGTGCGGACTTGTCCTGCCCGAGTTACCATTCACCACCGGCTGCACGTCTCCGTTTGGCATGGCCGTCGTGACGGCGTCTCCCGTGAACGTGGGATACCCGAAGAAAGTGAACAAAGTCTGAGTTGCAACGGTGCGACGTGTTACCCTTTTAGTAGAAGAGGGGTTATTGCTCTCCTGGGTTCCGTTTTGGGACGTAGCCACAGCCGTGTTCCCAGGTTTCTGTGTCTTCGCCGCCTTGTTTACCTGTGAGTAGATCGGTTCTGCCGGGGCTACCTGCGGAGCTGAGCTCGAGGCCACTGCCGTTGAAACAGCCTGCACGACAGGAGGAGTAGGTGCCGGGCGTCGGACCCTCTGTGGGCCGGGAGAGGACCGTCCGTTCTGGTGCGATGTAGGCACCTGGTGCGTGAGGGCAGTGCTAGGCGCTCTGGCCGGCGGTTGTGGCCGCTCTCCGCCCTGCGGCTGTGGCTGAGTCGGATACGTCGGTCTTCCCGGCTGAGGAGATTTGTCCGGAATTATTCCGTTCTGCTGTGGCTGTGATCCAGTGGCAGCAGGCTTCCCTCTGCTCCTAGGAGCCCGCACAGAGCCCATGTTACCCGGTCCGATGTCCACGTTGGCCCACGCGTAGTCAGGCCCGTCCTGTAGATTCACATCCGCCAAGTCCTGGTAGGCCATCCGAAAAGAACGACCCAGCCAATACTTCATGTCCTTCGCAGTTTCCTTCGTGTCGCACAGAAAGGCATGGCAATACATGGACTTGTGAGAATTGTTTGTCGTGATGACGGCAAAGACACGTCCGTGGAAACTGTCCTCCACTCCGTACGTAATCGAGTCTATGGCGAGATGAACCCTTTTCCGCTTGAACATCCCCCTGGCCTTTTCCATAAATATGCCCGCGCTCGACACCTCCACCAACACTTTCTCGGGCTTCTTGCCCTTCTGCTGCCGAAGAAGTAGCTCCAGCGGCTCCTGGATATACTCCCGCCCGGCCTCGCCCTTGGCCTGCGCCCTGCCGAGGTAGTGGACGGAGTACGTCGGCCACCTCTCGGCGATCTTGTCAAAACTGTACGACGACTTGCGGCCCGCCATATTGTCCGGACACACAGTGAATACCTGAGGGAACAATTACCTCAGGTATCCCGACAGGGCTTTGTGTGCTGCGCATCGCAAATGGGTGGCATTGTCCCTGAGAATATGCATACTAAATGGGGCGGGCCTAACCTAAGATTACCTTCCCCCCCATCTCCCCTCCATAACATCAAAAGATTTTCAACCGTCCCGACCCGGTTGTTCCACTCTCTCTCTGCCAATAAAGTGTCCCTCTTTCTGTTACTTCACGTTTGATCTCGCGAGGGTTTGGTGTCTTTAAGAAACTTATCTACAACCACAACTGTGTCTGATTCAGAGAACGTGCGTCCATTCGCCTATAATGAAGTCGTTTATCCATCATCAGATTAAGGTTCTGAATGGACATTGACGATTACGTGATAAAGGTGTGATACGCCGTCACCGGAGATAGCAGAGGTGACGTAGGCAACACTGCCCCGAGCTACGTCTACTGTCAGATGACAATAGGAATCAAGAAGGGTAGGGTATAAGTAGATTGAAAGGAAACACCTTAATAGAACTTCCGACCCCTCCTTTATATAGAGAGTGTACGTGGACTGTGGCAGGTATGCTAAGTTGGGATATCTTTAAAAGCATCAGGAGTCATGTAGGCGAAAGTCAGACGTCCTTGGCTGTAAGAGGACGTGTTTCTCACGATGTTCTGTAGACTTTGAGAGGATTAAGGCCAGCACGGGTCAGAAGTTGTGGGGTAAACAGTGTTTTCCTGCCGTTTTGTTACCACAGTCGGAGATTCAGCCACACTTCTGCAACTTTAGAGACTCGGATTAAGAGCTAAGACACAGGTGGCATGTGTACGGGGCTGCTGAAGTGTAACGCATGTGCCGAGTTAATGCTACCTCTACTAGAACTGTGTACCAGCCCAGTCGAAGGCTCGACTCAAAGCACAACGCTATCTTCTAAAAGTTATCTAGTTCTTTGCTAGCCCAGGTTAGAACTTGTGGACGTTACCATGATCTCTACGCCTACAAACAGGTCATACTGACAGATTATTCTGTAACAACCTTAAAGTTTTAATTGTGGCTGCAGTAAAAGTGGCTCTAACTTGTCGAGCAACACGAACTGAAGACACGATCAATTCGCAACTGCTCAGTTAAGGTGTAATTTGTCCTCAGGCGTGTCACATTCCTCTTTCATATATCACTGCCCTTGGAAATGTCAGTGGACAGAAACCACAACACTTCTCTGGATTGGGAAAGGCCAAGCAAGACACAAAGATACACAAATACTTAACTTGTCAATCCTAACACTTCAGCAAACAAAACTTTTGCAAACCATTCATAGACAAAAGTCATTTAAGCAACAACATACCTTCTATGGTTACGGTAGTAATTTCCAATTATAAGGATTATTCTGATAACACTTAAGATGTACCCAAGGTGGATTTTAAATATATAATTATTTGTGGAACAAATCCCTGAATCCTGTGATACACCAGTAAATCCAGAACAAGTGTCTGTAATCTTGTTTACAACAGTTCACTTGTAATCACATCAAGCCCTGCTATTCACATAACAACTAGTATTAGATTGATTTCTATCATCAGCGATATCAATGATGATGGTGATATCAACTAAACTAACAGCATCATGGAATGAAGACAAAGATAAAAACACATATGTATAAATGATGAAATTATACGAAACTGAAAAGTCTGATTTAAGGCTGTACAATGACCTACTAGCAGTAAAATAAACCTGGCAGATGACAAAATATTACAGGCAGAAACACATGCCCCAACCATTTGTCAACCCATAAAATGATTGGATCAGATGGTAGTTAGAAGGCAGTCCCCATAGAAAAAGTGTCATATGCCACCTCAGTTGCCGATGACTGCTATACCTTTCTCTTTCATTCCCATTCCCATTAGTATCAGACTCAGTGTAACATAAGAACCACACAAAGGATCTCAGGGTACAGTATAGTAAGTTTTATTTGCAACTCTTAACACACAATGGTATTTGGATACCTTCTTACACAATGGTACCAGTAACTCAACTACAGAGACTTCCAGGATGAAAACCAAAGTTGAATTTTCACTTCAACAAATTCACTTCAACAATAAGGCAACAGGTATATGTCAAGATGCTATGAATGACAAGCTCTATTCAGAGACTGAGTGATGTAACAAGGGTAAATGTATACTTTTGTACAACTTTATGTGCAACTTTCACAAAGTCTTTTAGACTATATATAAACATGACAAATTCTGCTGAATAACTCTGATCATATCAATAATTTCTAACATATTATTTAGTCTCTCTGCCAATAATCTCCCATCTGTCAATGATCTAGTACTTTTCCAAATAAATTCAAACTTCATGCATTCAACCCTTCATGAAAACACAACTGCAATGTTTCAATGCTAATACAATAGTATACACAGCCCTAAGGTTAAGAAAAGGGCAGATTTTGAGAACTGTTTCACACAGAATGCTCTAGTCACTCCCATCATCACTGATGATCCCATTCAGGTTAGCAAATGGGTTGTTCCCAGTAGTGCTGTCCTCGTCTGACTCGGACTCTTCCGGTTCCTCCACTTTCCTGGCCTTCCTGGGACTGTTCTTCAGATAAACACTGTGGACATTCCTCTTGGGACGACCTGGGGGAGTCAAAATGTCAGAGGTGATGTTAGTCATTATCGTACTGTGATAGGGTTCTAACTACATATACTTGTATCAGACAGAAACACCCTTTATTTCCAACTCACATGCTACATGCAGAATCTTTGGGCACAATTGGCAAGTTGGCTTCAAGAGCAACTTTATTGCAAAAGGTAGACAAAGAAGATGTAATTATATAATACATGTTTTTTTACTAGTACAGATCTTTTTTGTAATAATCTTTGTAAAAAATTAACACAATTCAGACATATCCAAAGTACTTCTGCCAGTTCCATTTTAGAATGGTACATAAAATTGATATTAAATTTACATCTTTCTACACACACAACACAACAGTCCATCTCTGACGTCATACATGGCCTTCACATTCATCACAGTCAACACAATATCAATAGCTTTTTCTAATAACAATCAGGACAATATGTAAAATTAATGACTGGTCTTCCCATTCAGCTGGTTCAAAGGGAATAAAGAATGGAATGATGGTTTGAAAAGGTACATGGGATTTGTCAACGTAATTGAGAAATTAAAAATGCCTGCTTTTCTTTTGTTATGTATGATTGCTTTTTTTTAACAATACAGGTGTATTACTATTACAAAAACATTATACAACTTTATAACTGGACTGTGTGCAAACATAGTTATCCTAATCTAATTTTCATTTTAACATATTGACCCCAAATGAATATTTGTCCCTGTCCGAAACTTGCTAGGATCTCTCCATGCATAATTTTCCTTGTAAACACAGACAACATTTGGAAGGGTTGAGAAAGCAGAAGTTTCCCCCACCTCTGTCAGAAGTGATGATGTTGTCAGCGTCCAGTGCTGCTAACTCCTGTTCTTCCTCCCGACGCTCCTTAACTTTCTTACACTTCTCCAGGGAGGGGTTACCTACATGTATGCAGATAAAAAAAACAGTCATAAGCAAGTCTACAAGTCTTTTTCCAAGATAACACAGGTATTTCTTTGAAAATCCATTCTAAACTTTATCCCTAAGACACCAAATTTGTACTGGATACCTACTAGTAGGAAGTTCTGGACAGAGCTCCTTGCGAATTGGTACATGTATTACATTGTGTAGAAGTTGCAGCTGCTTTGAGCACAGAATATATTAACTATTGCACCAAGATCAAAAGACTCACAGTTTGAAGATTATAGAAGGATTGATGTATGTACTTCAAAGTACACTATCGGAAATGTGGCAGTAATTTTTTTAACGATTAAAGGCACACCTAATCTAATAATCAGATGGACAAACAAATAAAATGATTCAGATAAATACAATAGTAAATAATGCAGTCATTTCCTAGGATTTATGGTTTACCTGTAGTAATAAAACGGCTCGTGAAGTTGGACAATGAGGACAATTGTCCATCTAACTTTGTCCATTGTCCCTTGTCTACCCATACAGAAGGCATATGTGCTTTTGAGCACTGCTGAGGTACAAATAATGAAGGGGGCAGAAAAAATGCCCTTTCATCAAACCGTTCTGTGAATACAGGCAATTGATAAAGTCAAGGCCTTTGAACCTGCCGCCATTTCCTGATGGCAGAAAATTGTTTCCAGAAAAGCCTCTTGTCTGCATCTGACCCTTGATTACACAGGTGACAACTTTGCCCCTATAATTAAAAGCCTTCGTCTTTGAGTGACCTGGCCTCGCATGAGGCTGGTACCAACAACTACTTATTATCTAGTAAATCATTCTAACACCTCAACGAGCACAAGGACCAGGACCAACTTTCTAAACTGCTAGTCAAAGTAGCAGCAGTAGTAAGGTGTCACACAACATATCACTTCTAAGTGAGATACCTTCAATTCAACATTACATGTAGATGAGTTATGAGCATTACTATGAGCATGATAACATGATTTTCTATGTATACAAATTCATGTAAGCTCAACTGAACCTCATTCTGTATAGAAACATTCAAATAAACTTCACTTACAAGAATTAGACCTTAGAAATAAAAACATTGTTGCACATAAAGACACAGGTGTGGCATATGGTAAGAAAGTAGGTTTACAAGCAGCCGTTAAAAGTGAGTAGTGCCTTTGGGGCGTAAATGTGACAGACCAGTGCCTGTATTATCCTTCAGAAGGTCATTAGGGACTTCCGTTAAGACCTAAAGACAGGGATAACAGATTTCTATCCTTGTAATGACTGATACTTGGGGTAACTAACTACATCTTTAAAATTAATAAAAAGGACCAAAAAGGTCAGTAGTAAGACAATGATGTACAGTTAACCTGTAATAAGTTTGATGATGCAGGGATGTATGTAGCATGTTAACATTATCCTAGATTATCACAAAGACAGCCAGTAAAGAGGTGCGTTGTACCCTAGGGGGTTTACGGCTCACAGAAGTCCACCAGACAATCAAAGTAATTACCGACAAACAATTCCTGTCTGTTTAAAGACTACAAAACTCTCTTCTGAGCAGGACATAGAGTAATTAAGCGGCAGAGAAGGCAGAGGTTAGAACACAATCGTCCCTTTGTCAATGTTCAAAACGTTTCAATTAGTCTCCTAAGGCCGAGGGGCTCAAGAAATGATTTATCTCTAGTAATTTTAAGCTTTTGGGGGATACTGAAGAAAAGATATCTGTGTTAAGCAAAGTCAAATTTTACATACTTAAGTGAAGAAAGCAACTACACTGGTAATGCACTACAGTAAAATGTACACTGTAAGATATTCCAGTGGTAAGATATTCCTGGCAAGGTAATTTTGTATGTCATCTGCACAAGTGCAGGTATGCAGAAAAAATCAATCATGGAAAAGACATTTCATAAAAAAATACATATTATAATTTTTCATCTGTACAAACCTTCTACACCAAGTCTCTCGAGTTCCTCCTCCAAACGTGCGATCTTCTGCTTGTTACGAGAGCAGCCCTCAAACAGTTTCTTGTAATTTGGGATGCGCACACCACACGCACGGATGTAACGCTTCAAGCGCTCAATTTTCGCCTCCTGTTGCTCTGCATTTTTGCTCTTGCTTGGCTGTTTGGACTGTAAAGATGTTTGTTTTTCAGTCGTTCTGACAGTTAAAACTTACCCACATTCTACATCTATGCAATCACATGTTTAGAACTATTCTTCACTTGGTATAACTTTTATCTATTCATTCATCATTACTTGGCTCAAAAAGTTGCTACCTGTAGAATAATTTTTTTCTGATAACAATGTTAGTTACTCTTTCTTTCTTCATACCTCTTTCTCTTTCCTTTTCCCACCACCACTGCTTCTTCTTCCTTCACTGCTGCTGCTTTTCTTTGGAATAGGATTCCTGTGGACATTGACATCAACATTTCCATCAGCTTAATGTGTGAGTAGACAGAAATAAAATACAAGAATAAATATATCATAATGATGATTGTTTACAAGCCCAACAATGTTGATGTACATCATATTGTTTTTTTACCTGTCATCTGGTCCAGAGGAATCTGATGAACTGTCACTACCTGATGCATCTCCTGTGTTCTTACTCTTCAATCCTGGCTTTCTTGTCTTCTCCTTCCTTCCCCTGGAGTCTGAGGAGTCAGACTTCCTTCTCCTGTTCTCCTTCTCACTGCTTCCACTTGTCTTAGGGATCAGTGGCTGCTCATCTGAGTCGGATGCCTCAGACTTCTTCAGATTTTCCTTCTTTGAAAGTGGCTCGTCATCTGAATCTGAGGACTCATCTTTTGACTTCTGCTTTTTCATTTGCTTTTTCTTGTTTTCCTTCACCAGTGGTTCGTCATCTGACTCTGAGTTACTTGATTCCTGACTTTTTCCTTTCCCTTTTTTAGGCTTTGAAAGTTGCTTATCATCTGAGGATTCATCTTTTGACTGATTTTTCACTTGCTTTTTCTTGTTTTTCTTCACTGGTGGTTCATCATCTGACTTTGAGTCAGAAGACTCATTACTTGACCCCTGACTTTTTTCTTTCCCTTTCTTATGCTTTGAAAGTGGCTCATCATCTGAATCTGAAGACTCCTCTTTTGACTTCTGACTTTTTACTTGTTTTTTCTTGTTTTTCTTCACTGGTGGTTCTTTATCTGAGTCAGAAGACTCATTACTTGACCCCTGATGTTTTCCTTTCCCTTTCTTATGCTTTGAAAGTGGCTCATCATCTGAATCTGAGGACTCATCGGACATCTTCTGTCTCTTTACTTGACCTTTCTTGTTGTCCTTTGTGGGTGACTTTTCTGACTGATCCTTGTCTGAAGTCATCTTCTCGGCCCCAGAATCGTCATTCTTCTCTCCTTCAGACATCTTTTCTTCTGAATCTGATTGGTCTTCAATTTCATCTCCTACCTTTTCATCAACTACCTTTTCCTCTTCAGATCCTTCTGCCTGTTCCCCATCTCCTTGTTTCACAGCTCCGAGGTCTTCACCGCTTTCCTCACTCCCACTTTCCAGTGCAGTCTTCTTCTTGGTCTTTTTCGAGGCTGCCTTGGGTGATTTTGTGGGCGAGTTCTGTGGAGTTTCCTCATTATCACTGCTGTAGCCATTCTTTTTAGCTACCTTTTTAACAGGTTTGACAGCTGTCTCCTCTTTTTTCCTCTTCTTTTTTCTTCTCTTCCCCACCTCTTGGTCCGAGTCATTGTCTGAGCTGCCAGACGACTCTTCACTGGTGGACTGTAACTTCCTCTTCCTCCTCTTCTTGTGTCTGTCGCTTGTCTCTGTACTGTCTTCTATGTCTTCTTCATTGTCACAGCTGTACCCACTCAGGCCGATGGAGCTCTTCTTGCCTTTCTTCTGACCGGTCTTCTTAGTGGTAACACCTTCAGAGGATTCCTGAAAGAAACACGAGAATCAGGAAGTTAGCAATTACAAATACATCATTATAAGGAATGTGGGAAAAAACTAAGCCATCGCAAACAACAGAAATGAATGTATAAACTAAAACTCTATTGAATAAACTAGCATGTCACTCATGCAAATTCAGTGACTGGTTCACGGAATACTTTATTATATTTCCGTCCATACCATGGTATGGATGAAATATATTGTGTTCTCTGATGTTTCTTCTTCTCCTTCTCCTCCTCCTGCCAAACAGTCAAAGGGATTCAACTCCGCCATCATTCAGCCAAATGACTTGAAATTTGGCATGGAGGTAGAGTGGGCCAATACCCCCAGGCGTTTTTTTCATTTTTTTGATACATGCCTTTGAAAAATTTTTGTGAAGGTTTTTTGGGGCATTTTTCGACAAAAAATGGATTTTTGGATCCTGAGCCCTGGTTTTACAACCAAACGATCTGAAATTCGGTATAAGGGTACCTTGAACATGTGTCTACAGAATAGCAGTCACATATTTGGCATACACCACTTCCAAATGACTCATTTGGGGGACTTTAATGGCTATTTTCACCAAAAAAGGGCCAAAAGTGCTATACCCGTTCCATGTTCTATCTAAAGAATGCCATGTTCCATCTGCCCTTGGCCATGGAACATGTGTTCCATTGCGGGTTACCTGGGGTCACATTGCACGTAAGTCATGGGTAATGACCCACACATTCAATTTTATGTGCCTAAGACCTTCCAAATGTATCAAATCTCATCATTGTTAGTATTTGCATACCTGTAATAAGATTAGTAAAGCTTTTGAGATTCAATGTGCTTGTTCTTACATCTTTGTTCTCAATTACATAGCTACTATAAAATTCATTTATTTGATAATCTTTGCCAGTTTTACACTGGGGTAAGTTTGGAATAGTCCACTTTTGCGTGGGAGGGAGATGGACTGAAATATGCTGTATTTGCTCTCAAGCAAATGTCGGCCTCTCTAGTGATTTATCTATTTTCTTTTTACTGATCTGTAGTTGTAACCATGCAACAACTTACATTAACTTTATAACACATTTCTGAGGTTCACCCTGCCTTGTCAGGTCTTGATTATTTAAACAATACCTACACAAATAGACAGGTGAAACCCTACCTCTTGACTCATGGCTTTAAACAGTTCTGTTGCGATGTCGATGAGCTGTTGGTATGTCTCCCTGCTGATACTTGTGGCTCCTGTGTGTTGTAAGTACCTCTTCCGTAGAACACTGGGAGTCAAAGACCTGTGATATGGAACAATTAGCATCATTATACATTACAGCATATTCTAAACATTGTTTGTGAGTATCACTTATGGTAAATCTTCTTTTTTGTGTCAACAGTGATCTGTCTCTAAATTCTACCATTCCAATTTGGTTGGCACATTGGTGACAAACTGGTACATGTACTAATATAAAGAGTGCTGAAAAACTACAAGTGTTAGACTGCAACTTATCCTTGACACCCTCCCATCCTAGCATAATTTTGAAGCATCCGCTCCCTGACTACCTTTGTACTAGTAGACGTATCTGAACCTGTAAGCAAAGTTATAACGTTACTGTCATTATATTGATTTCATTCTGGGGCTGCATGTCAACGGGAGGTTAGAACAATTTTAAAAGATGCTGAAACTAAGAAATCGTGCAAATCGTGCCGTAAACCAAGGATAAACTCACCTTTCACTTTGAGTCCAAGTTTCACAATGGTTCTTCGGTGGGGGAGGGGGGCGTGTGGTGAGTTTGATAAACTTGCCCAGATGTAGGGTGTCAGAACTTACCTAAGTTAAGCTTGATTTTGAGTAACGTCTTCGATAAGACACAAACACAGATCTATAACAGTATAAGGTCTGTGGTGACGTCAGGTGACATAATGACGCTGCTATCTGTGCAGCTGGAAACAAACTTCCCGCCTAGTGTCTGATTTTCCCGCCATTTTTCATCAAAACAAAAAAAGTACCGACCACATTTATCACAATTGGCCAATCATTATGCAGCAAAGTAAAGGGATCAACACAAAATCTGAACGACTCTTTTCGTCCTAAACATTTAGATAGTGTCAACTTACCCAGGATCGTCCGAGGAAAGCAAAAGTCGCTTCACAAACTTTCGCATCTTCCTTGTTTCGTCCATTGTAGCAGTTTGACTGTGATGGGTCAAAGGTTGTCAGTTGATCTCAACCAATCACACAACGCTATTCATTTTGTTGGCCCAATCACAGACGCCTTAACAAACCAAGAGTTGTAGCGGGAAATTTCAGCATTTTTTAGTAAAATTTTGAAAACTACAGGCGATGATCGTATTTTACTGATCAATACTGTAACGTTAACCTAGACACAACTGGTATCAAGATTGGCCATTAATGGCTGCGGTTGGAATACCGTTGGATGGCCCCTGGATATATGTTTTCTCAGTCCAGTAGAAGGAAGCTCAGTCAAAATCCGCTAGGTGGCAGACCAACTTCGCGGTTTGATGGGAAGGAACATGTTTCACCCCCCAATGGTTATATCCAAGGATTCATCCAGCGAAAATATTTCATACTGACAAACGCATTACGATCGTCAATGACGTCTTTGACTTAAAGCTGCATTATGACTATAATAACATTAGGACGATTCATCCAAAATGTAAATTTTCTTTCATACGAATATTATTTCCAATTAAAATATTTCAATTTCGGTGCATACATGTTACATGATGTCCCTTCAAAGTTACAATGTAGATATTTTCCTAAGACATGGTATTGACAGTGCGCATCGATTGAATGGATTTCAGATGATGAAAATGCATCCACTGATGAAAAGTATAGACCGTTCAATATACGCTATTGTGCAAGATCATCCCATGTCTGGTGTGCCTTGCGGTCGTTGGCAGTTTCAACCACACACACCATTCATCGATTAAACCACAATATTCCTAACGCACCAAATTGAAAGGTCGGGGAAAACCCAATATCTATCATGCTCGCCACACCTTTGACATTTACATTTGACCTATTGACCTTGAGCACCAACTGTGTGAACCCCTGAGATTGACCTTGACCTCCATTTATGAGAATGGTTGCGTCGTGATCTTTCTATGATGAAGGGCAATCGACTCGCCAGAAAAACGGTGACCTGAATTGCTCTGTACATCAGTCTGCTAAATAACAGAGGCCCAGTTTTGTTCCATTGAGGCAGGACCTGAGGAAGCCTACACATTAGAAGGAAGCCCGTGGGATCTTAACCCATTATCTCTAATAGTTATTCCTCACTCCTTCGGGACGGTTACAAGCTTTTTGAGCAACGCGTGGTTTGAACGTTTGTTCTTCCTCAATTATTTTCGCTTGCTTGGTTCCGTGTGCGCCTTTGATAAAGAACGAAAAAAAAAACCCTAAGGTACAAAGAGGTTCCCGCAGAATGCAAATAGCTTCTATTTCTGATCTACGGGTAATATGTTCGGTCATATTGTACAGTATTTCTGGAAAGGACAGCTTGGTAGAATGCCAGAATTTATATTTGGTGGGCCACATTGACATGCATCATACATGGTACACGCGTCACAGCCCTACTAAGAATTACTGAGCGTGTAGTGAGCCAAATTGGTTCAATTAAACGATAGAATTATCTTACCTCGGTATTATCTATTAAGCTTATTTGTACAAAAAGTCGATAACAATTACCTTCCAATGCGGGACTAGTCATTGTTGCCCGGAAGAAGGTATGTACAGTTGGTTACGTTCAGATAATAACCCGAATACCCAGTGATTTACCAACATGGTGCCTTCACACGGAGATATTGAAGGTTATTATAGACAATGATTGGAAGACACTTTGGTTTTAGGACTGTGAAGGTCGACAGAAGTGACATTTAGACCAGATGACGCGTCTAATTCCATCCCTAAAGTTGATAAAACCAAGGGTATAAGTTGAAAAGGACATGGCAAGAAATATCGCTCAGTGATAAATGCGTTCGGTTGGTGACCTTGCAATATGATTTTCAAGAAATACGACTAACAAATATAACGAGTAACAACTTTTAAATGGGTGTTTATTTTCTCTTGTGCTTTAAGAAAAAGAAAACCCTTCATCTTTCATGGTGTAACAATATCAAACAGGTCACTTTAATAACATACACCACAGAATGGATGCATGTCAGTGTCATAGTTTGAATGCATCGTATAATGTCTATGATCAACAAAAAGCAACGGCATGGCATTTTATGCTGACAAGTCTACAATCACGCACACAGAACCCCCATATGTTGCTTCTCTCCAAACCTGTCAGACAGACGTTACATATCATGTGTTTACGGCTCCCGCGATATTAGATACGCGCTGAAGCGTTCAGTTTATCAGTGAGAATAATGTTTCCTAGAATAATATTACAAAATCCATCTATATGCAAATTTGTGGAGTTTGAAAAAAATACAAGAGAAGCCAACAACAGAAAATCGTTATATAGGAATTTGAAGAAGACAGTAGAAGTAATTTCTCATCATCAAGTTTAAATTATGAAAAAAAAGCGTATACATAGATCAAGAGTATATACATTACGTTGTTGACAGCAATCAATCATACATGCTTGATGACACTCTTCACATTTACCTAAACCGGACTTGAAAACATTGGAACTTGCCATAGTGGTCTGTTTTACAAATACACGCCAGTTATATCAGCCACAAAACAAAACAAATGACAACATGAAGTCTAGAAATGCTTCCTACTGCGTTAACAAGACCCTGAAAGCAGTAAGACACTTCATACATGTACATCACACCAGCATACCATTCCCGTTCGAGTGGGTGGTCATATTAAGTCTCTGTGCGGCCCGCAAAAATTCAAAAGCCAATATCTCGGCCCTGGACTCCGGTTGGAATCCTTCGAAGAACCCGCAGTGCCCTCCCTTTTCGGTCAGCGCTAAGAAGAAATGTGGGTAGGTTAGGAACAGTTCTATCGGGATGCTCTCCTTGGGCACGAGTGGGTCATCTTTACTACTGATACACAGTAAAGGAACGGCCACTTCGTCTATCTCTCTCGTAGGCTCGTTCTGTTCCCAATAATCCTCCATTGTGCGCACACCGTTCGTTTTACAAAACACCATTTCCTCGAACTCCGCCATTGACCCTGTCCTTAGTGCTGAAGTGCCATCCAACGTGTCACATTTTTGTAGGCAAGACACGTGTGACAATAGCAACAGTTTTTGCCTCTGCAATAATATCCATCTATAAAGGCTAGAGATAGCCTGGGAGGAGTAGAAATTCTCCGCACAATAGATAGGGGAGATACACGCTGCCGCTGTAAGGTAGGTAGAGGAACCGTACTCGCCCAGGTACGAGATTAGAACCCCGCACCCTGTGCTCAGACTGACCGCGGTGAGGTCAGAGCCCGGGTTCGTGGCTCGGATGTATTCCAAGGCCTCTCGGAAGTCCGAAGGGTCACCGAAGCTCTGGAGGCGCGGCGTGGTGAGGGGGACGTCGCCGTGTCCGCGAGGTCTGAACACCACGGCGCGGAACCCACGCCGCCACGCCCGCTGACACAGCCTGGCTACGGCGTTACCGGTCGTCACCGCGCCGCAGACCACGATCACGATAGACCGGTGATCATTCGACGTCTTTTCTTCGAAGGTGGTCCAATCTAGGCCCACTACTCCCCCGTCCTTCAGCTCCAGAAACTCCCGCTCGAACCGCGGCCCCGTAGCCGGGCAGACCACCGCCGATAAGGCCGTCTGGACGTGCGGGTTGAGCGCCCAGGCGGTCGGGACGAACGGGCTCCTCAACCCGAGGCACTTCTGCAGAAAGTACGGCCGTAAAGACGAGTTCTTGGACACCAGCCTTGGCCCTAGGTCATAGTTGGAGTCCACATATAACCACAAGACGTACAAGATAAGGAAAAACAGGCCTACTTTGAGAATTAAAAAGGTAAGAAAGTTCCCTCCTTCGTCGCTCCCGTTTCCCGTTGTATTGCTGTCCGCCGGATCCATCCTTGGCCAACGCGGTCTCTTCAAATTCAGCCCGGAATCACCACGAGCTCACATCGACTGCTATTATACAACTCATGAAAATAGGCTGGGCTATTCCCGGCGATTTGCCGCCCCCGAAGTTCCATCGATCGGGAGGCCAAAAACCGCGGGAGGGAAGCGAAATTGGTTGAAGTCTCGCGAGCGCTACCATCCGTGTAAATGCAAATCATGTAGTAAAGCCGTGGAAAATTCTCATGTCTAAGGAATGGACCTGTCGCGGCAACTGGTATCTGAAAAATTATCGTCGACGTTCAGGGACAAGGTTTTAACCTCTCCGTGCGCGCCGCAAAACGGTAATCCTGTTATTTACGACATGTCGGTACACAGCACCGCAAGAATAACGACGTCAAGGAAGGCTATTTTGGGGGTGTTAAAAGAAGGAGGGTGTGGGGGAGGGGGTTTTGCACTAACAAATCCATCTGTCATTTGGTCGTGACGCTCTTTTTGTGCTAACTTAACCGTAATTAACAACATTTTAATACAACTTTTCCATTAAACTTTACGATTTTCTTATCAAACAATCTTGGCATAGGTGACGTTTTCTTTCTAAGAAGTAAAACAGCAGATATCTCATCAATTCTCCGGAGATTTCAACGCTAAATTAGTTTTTATTCAGTCGCCTCTTGACCTCCCTCGTATCCAAAGAAAGGTGTTTCCCCACTGATACCGTTGTTTGAACGAGAGTACCACGAACTGGTGAGTGTTGCACTCTGAAGTAAAGGCCACTTTCTGCCTGATTCAATGACCGATAGTAGTACCGTGCAGTGTCCGGAAATGCCCGTGCTTGCGGCTATGAATGGCTGATGAAGATAGCCTGATACAGAGGGTTTTAAAGCTTCACGTGCCGAGAGATAAAGCCTCCCGGACAAGCATGACACGTCTGTCAGGTGACATGTTGGATGATCAAACTTGGAATTTGCCAGGCTGATTTTGATTTGTATAACGTATTATCTGCAGCGACTGGGAACAACAATCACGATTGTTGATTGTGATCATCTCTTGTCCGGTTGAAAGTACCATCTAATAAAACAGTTATAATGACCTATTCTTTAGTGTCCTTTCATGTATACGTAAACCGTTTCTATGACCATTCGTTAGCAACGATAGTTACGATGCCCTCGATCTCACAAAATAGCTCTGACGTCTCATTTGTATCACGTCTCTGTATGAAGTCTGATTTTCATTCATGCATATGTCTCACAGCGAATGAACATGAATAGGATGCGCATTCATGGTTTGATTGCATCAACGCACCCGTAATCACATTTCTGTGTGTAGTTTTGCTTTTGTCCTAGTTTCCCTGTGTTCACTCAGATCATGCAGGCCGTTCTGGGTCGTTTGTTCATGCGCTGGCAGAATGTTAGCTTCCTCTTTTTCTATCCTTTCTGTTTTCTGTTTTCTTTCAGTATTAAAGGCATCCAACGCAATTCCAGAGTAACGAGACTGAAAATATTCTGAATAAGGCAATCGTTATGATATTGGCACATTCTGCTTCGCATTGGCACATTTCAATCAGTATTTTATATACTTTGGGTATTTCAAACTGCAAAAACTGGCCGCAAGATGAGTCCCTTATTTTATGGGTGGTACCCGAAAAAACAGCTCAGGGCCCTTCCAGCAGTGACCATTTTCCGTCAGAATTTTTGGGTCTTTTTGCTCCATGTGGGTCATTATACATTAGGATAGTGTGGTTTCAACTCAGGATGTAGATAAGTGACTAGAATGATTATTTGAAAAATCGGGTTTCCAAGCCCTAAAAACTGTACTGGATGTCCTTAAGTCACTTCCCACCTTTACTACTGCAACTTTCTGATAATTAAATGCTGACTTTGTTATACGTACCTCTCCATAAGCCCCTGTCCGGCCGGTGTCGTTTCGTGGCTTGTCACGTCACTTGTAAGACGCGTTGAGGATTACGATAAGGCACACGTTACATAATTTGACATGCATGTCGCCCTGGGGTATAAATTGTGGTTCAATGTCGGGCAAAGTTGAGTCTGTGTGGATATCCTGGTGTGCACGTGCCTGCACTCTTAGGAACACCCTTAACAGTACAGAAAATCAGATATTCAGATATCATATGCATGCTCTAGTAGTCATTCCATCTTTCAGAGTGAACGTCAAATAACATCTACTGGGTAATACCCTTTTCTCTCTCTCCCCCCTCTCTCTCTCCCTCTCTCTCTATCTGTCTCCCTCTCTCTCACTCCCCTCTTTCTTTCTTTCTCTCTCTCTCTCTCTCTCTTTCTATCTCTCTATCTCTCTGTCTATCTCTCTATCTATCTCTCACACACGCGCGCGCGCGCGCGCGCGCTCTATTTGTTATTGAGCTACAGGCTATTTTATCATATCTCCATCAAAACATTTACCTATCTATAAAATTACCCAGCACATTAATAGAAGCCCGCAAAATTGATACTCGATCTCCCTGCATAATGTCGGAGAGATTAGATATGGTTCCGCTACAGTGATTACAATTATTATAACTCGGTAATTGATTCCGGTGCCGCACTGTTTGTCACGTAAGCACCAAGAAAATGAACCAAAATTCCCGATTTCTACCTAATCCATCTATGACCATTTAGCTCATACATGTAAGCGTCTGAAACTCATCTCTTGTCACGCATCCAACCTCGTGAAAAAGTAGGCTAGGTTTAAGATATGATTATCAACATTGCTACGGATGATTTCAATATTAGAGGTAAGAGCCAGCACACTGAAGGTTATGTCAGGGTCAGCTTGTCAGGAGACATTGCGGATCTTCTTGTCTCCTCTCCCCGCTTGATCTCACCATCAGTTAAGCCAGCCAAAATGCCAGAGTACGGAATGGAATATCGGAAGATTGCACTTGATGGGTATTGGGAAAATTCGAAATGACAGAGATTTCTGAGCACGCATTTCAACTTGAAAGGACGGGAAGGCGGTTGACTGTTAATGAAAAGGTAGAGAAGCGCTTTTTGCGCCAGGAATGGAAATTATGGGAACAGCGACGTGCAAGAAATATGAATGAAGACCAGTCTTCATATGGACCGTTTGAACGTAAAAGAAAGAGAAAGAGCAAGGCACTTTTGGTGTGCTCTTGGCAGAAGGATCGCATAACAGCGCTATCATTAAAGGAATGCAAGATCTGACATACTTATTTTCCCCTGCAGCTGTTTACTTCATTCTCAGTTTGTTTGTTTGTTTTGCTGTTCTAACGTTACAAATAGATGCCTGTTGCCGGCGTCGCTCTTCCTATGTCACTTGTAACGCTGGTCACGACTCCATCTAATTGCCATTGAGCATTGAGAACTTTATAAGGCGTCGTTCAGTCGTTGAGAATTATTCGCACTGACGGATGTCTTCCTGGGGTGCGAGTCAGAAGTTGTGGCGCCAAACCTCAGATGGTGCGATCTGTCATTTGCAACGGTTAAGTGGCGCTCCTCTACGGGAAAACTGGGAATATTCTGAATAAGGAAATCATGATATTGACACATACTGCTTCACATTGGCACATTTCAATCAGTATTTCATACTTTGGGTATTCAAAACTGCAGAAACAATCCCCAAGATGAGTCCTAATCTTTTATATATGGGTGGAACCCTACAAATCAGCCAAGGGCCCTTCCAATAACCATTTTCAGAATTTAGGGTATTTTTGCTCCACGAGGGTCAATATACTTTGGGATAGTGTGGTTTCAACTCAGTATGTAGATGGCTAGAAAATTGGAAAAAAATCTGGTTTCCAAGCCCTTAAAACTGCCTTTAAGTGGCGCTGCCCGGTCCAGACGCCGCCCGACACGTGAGAACCGGAGATAACCGGGTTAGAGTGTGCGTCAGGACGTTATCGTCTTTCCAGCCCCTCACACCAAACGTATGACCAATTCTCTTAAGTGATTCGCTGGCCTGTAATTGGGTTACATAAAGGCGGAATTAAGTTACACAACAACACCATCTGATCGGGGATACGTAAAGCTGAAGGCTTATCCTATGCTGCTGTTGTTGATAGTATCCTAGACGACGGAAAAGTAAGTAAACAACTGTTTGGACTGTATACTACAGTATGAAAAACCGTTAAGTATAGTACTAACTTAGAGTTTAGAGTAAGTCTTGGAGTCACTGCGTATACGTAACGTCTGATCTCGGCCATGCAGCGTAGTACATGTAGATATTAGCATCCAATCTTACCTCTTTCCTGTGACTGGTTCACATTTCAGGTCACACCTAAAGTTTCACCTTGGCTTCGCGGATGTGAGGTTTTGACTTCTCCGCTTTAACTAACTTGCGTCAGTCCTGGTGGTCTGACGCGCGCTTCTGACATCCATCACACCCGCAGGAGATTATCTAAGATTCAGACGTACTTATCCTCCACAGGACGTAATTTCAGCTCAAACATCGCCATTACAACCGGGGAAGAGATCCATCGATCACATGTGGCTCGTGGAGAGAGAGAAACCTCCCGACTCTTATTTCACAATTTCAGAACCAACACCAGCAAGATAATGACGATAACTTTTTCCCACAGCAATGGTAGATCCTTAAAATGACGGGCTTGTCATTATAATGTGTACCTACAGTCTGGGATGGGGATATTCGCTTGCTCGCTTGACTTGATATAGAGAGAGTTCGATTGAGTTCAGATAAGCTTTTGCGTCAAAGAACATGTAACCACGTACTCTGTGGATTGTAAATGTTTTTGAGCACGAAACCTATTCGAGATTAAGGAATATTAGCTACACGCTTTGTACATTTTACTCTTTTCCGTCTGGTTGGGGTCCAAACTTCAGGAGAGCTCATTCCCTTTCTCCTAGTTGTACTTCTACACAAGATATACGTCACCGGGATCACATTACAAAATACACGGCTGCTACAACCAAGCTGGTATTACCGAAGTAGAAGCTGACTTGGCTCGTTGCCTAGTAAAACGCGGGTATCGGTATTAAGAAGGAACCGACCCTTGTAAGATGATCAGGATAGAGATGAATCCCTCACTAAAATGAAATACGACTTCCTAGAAATGTAATTCTCCTCGCGTAAGC